AGGCGCGATCTAGGTGTCTGGCCGAGAGCCTGGTTGCGCGAGAGAAGGGTTGTGTAAAAAATACACAAAATGCCACCGGAAGGCATTTTGAGAGACGAAGTTGTACAATGCTCCGGCGCTTAATGCCAATGTTGAGCCTTTTCTAGGGGCGGCGCCGCAGGCAAGGAGCATGCAGCTGTCAGAGGCGCGATGGCGCAAGAAAGGACCGATCCCAGAGGCGGCGCCTTAATCAGACGATACCCACCGAGCCCACTTGGTACTGCGACGGTAGGCGCATTGGCAGACGGGACTTGAAGGAGAAGGATGGGGCCTGTGGACGACAAGAATAAGAGTGAATGCATGGATGGCAGAGGGCAGCGGAGGATGGGCAAGGGGCGGGGTGAATGGGAATGATGAGGCCAAAGGGAGCATGGCACACGGAAATGCCAAAGCGAGGATGGGGAAAGCAAAAAGGCGCATGGACGCGGAATTGAAATTGGCACAGATGATGTTGGGCTGGCAGGTCGGGTTCTGTCCTTGACGATGGAGCAGGAGGACGAGAGCAGCGGCGGTACCATGGGCGAAGGGAGGCCACCTTGTGCGGCAAGGTGATGCGATTGAGGAGTCGAGCTGAGGGTGCAACAAGAGAGATTCAACACACTGGCGCAAAAGCATCTCAGTTCCTTGTACCAAAGGTAAGGTACGGATACTGTAAGGGAGACAATGTCACGACGTGTAATGAGGCAGGCAAGGTACCTTGATGCGGACTACTACCTTCCATGCTCGACGATAAGGTGTGAGGAAGGCGCCGTTTAAAGTGTCCTGTTGACGATTAAAGTTTCGGTAAGGCGTCCTCCATCGCACACTGCGGCCAGCCATTGCCGTGTGTGGTGTTTCTGTTTTGAGCAAAGGCCGTTTCCGCTTTCCCATGTTGCTGCAAAAGAAGGCCAGGAGAGACTTTGAGAAGACCGCAAGAGCAAGCGGGAGCAATTGACTGGTGCGCTACCGTCCAGTTTTTATCTTATTTCCGCTCAAGTAATGTGCATTGGGAATAGGAAGGGCAAGAGGGCAAGAGGGCGTGAGCGTGCGTGGCTCTTTGACCGAATTCGTCCAAAAGTAAACAAAAGGAAGAAAGAGGCAGCTACCATGTACCGTACTTTACCTACCTAAGGTAGTAAGCAATATGGTATTCTGAAGTGGTAAGCCGCGGCAACTGCCTCTAATCAATAGCGACCCTGATGGTACGGGGAGGAGCGAGGGTGGTTGGGCGGCAGAGCAGGTACGAAGTGCGAATGGGGAAAACCGCGACACTTTCCTTGCAAGTTGGGGGGTATCCGTATATCCGTATATCCATCGATGTTGCCATGTTTCTTCCGGAAAGGCACCTGGCTTGGCCAGTTGTGTGCCTCCGTCTCCGTCTCCGTTCATTTCCATCTCCATTTCCCCGTCAGCGACAAGAGATCGGCTCGAGAAGGAAAGCTGTCTTGTCGCGTCGAGCCCACGGGTGACGACTTGCCAACAATGGCCGCCAGTGCTAGCCAAGCACCAAGATGGGACACACGGCAACGGCGACGGCGCCGAAATCTGACCCCAAACATCGTGCCGAGTAAGGCGAAAGAGGCACACGCACGAGGGGAAACCACACCGGTCTGAAGCCAGGCCCGAACCAGACAGAAGCGGGCCAGAAGCGGCTTGCCATCTGACAAGACTCGCGCGTTTCCCCGTCCCGTCTGCTCAAGCCCTGGCGAGGATAGTTCCCGACCACGAGACACCCACGACACCAAGGACCGAAGGTGAGGGACCGACTACCTTAGCATCCGCAAGGCCTTCGTGGTATCCATAGTCTGTGGCCCTCTGCATTTTGCGCAGCACTGCTCTTGACTGTCTGACGACGTCTTTTTGCCCCTCGAGTTTCCCCCGAGCCACAATCCCGATCAATCCGCCATACTAATCGGCTCTGTCAGAGCGTGGTCAGCTAGACCAACTACGTCAGTTGGGAAAGGTCGCCGCTGGTAGTGCGGCTTGGTCCCCTGTCTATCCCCCACTCTCCAAATCTCTCTCCTCCGAGTCTACTGAAGTTAGAACGAGTGTCGGCTGACTGTGCAGGGGAAAGAGAAGAACACCTAGAACAGCCTGCAAACGCGATGCCGTCTGTACTCGGTACCAAATAAGAAACGCTTCGGAGAGTGCAGAGTGCAGAGTGCATAGCTCGAGCCACGATTGAGGTGCCACACTCTTCGGCCTTGGGCTTGACTGGCGGTGATGAATGCGAGCGCCCCTGTGCATAACGTGTTGACTTTGTTCGAAGCTGGGAGGCCGAAGACAACGCAGCAGGTACGGGCATCTCAAAGCTGGATGGATGGGTGGACTTGACCTCGATCTCTCTGATGGAGCCACCGAGCTGCGCGTCACGGAGAGAGAGAGAGAGCGACTCGGTTGGCCCGTCGCCTCACCTCACCTCACCTCGCCTCCCCTCTCTTCGGCCTGCAGTACAGCGAGGGCATTTGCCCATCCTCCCACATTTGAGTGATGCTGGGTACGTATCCGTACGAATACTTTGGTGCCAGAGAGACAGAGAGAGACATAGGTACAGCCGTTGCAGTCTTTTTCCTTTTACAGCGCACGAGGGGCGTGTGCATAGACGAGCCTTGTCGACCCATCCCATCCCGGGGTGGCAGCAAGCGGGGGGGTGCGATACAATGCTCGTTGTCGCTCACTAACAATTATTTTTCGAGATGGACGGTCCAGGCAAGGGAGGGGGGATCGAGTGGAGGAAGCCGCAGTGGACATGCCCTGCCCCTGTCCACACACGACAATCGCGGTATCCGTACAGACCACCTCGAGGTCTGCAGGAAGGAAAACAACAGCACGCATGTAACTCGAGTCGAGTCCCGCTTTCCAAGACATGTATCACTACCTCAACTTCCCATATGTCTCAAACCAGATCAGAAGTAGCTGTAACCTCACAGGTCCACCCGACCCGATCAGAAAAGCCAACAAGGGACAAAGACCAGCCCAGCTGTGTAGTGGCAGCGGAAGCAGCAGCTCAAGCAGCAGGCCAGCAGCAGGCCGACCTCACACATCACACAAATGGCACATATCGTCTTCTTCCTTCCAGTTCTCCCCGCCGCCCAACTCGTCCTCTATACCTCGCGGTGCAGTTACCCAAAGTGGGCGGCTGTTCCTCATAATCGACTCTAGGTACTTTATTCGACTCAGCCCGATTCAAGTTTGCTCTACCAATCGTCTCTCCTCTCGTCTCCTGGATACTTTGACGTCGCCTTACTTCACCCGATGCTGCTTTGCTCTGCCGTGCATCATCGCTCGGCTCAGCTCCCACTTCACCCAAGGCAAGAAAGGATACCTAACCTTACTGCCGGAAATCCTCCGTTGAATACATCGCAAACACACCCCACTGCGATTTCTTCATATCCTCCGCCAGACTTCTCCCATATACCAGACCGCTCCTCCATCTTCTTCCTCCTACCCGACTTCTCCTCACCTCTTTTATTTTCTCGTCTCCAACTTGATCTATTCATCCATACTTCCCACCCATTCCGCCTCTCTAGTATTTCTCGACCCAGCTGCTGTGGCCCTACCTCAGGTAGCTCACCTCACTTCCACAATCCATCCCACAACCGCAACCACAAGCTCTTAGAGGAAGAACAACGAGGGAAAAGAAAGGTACGTACCCTCAGCTACCTGTCTTAGCCGTCTCGCCCAAGCACATCGTAAGGTACCCATCCCCGACTATCCTTACCCATGCCCATTCACCCATCTCCAACACCCATTTCCATATTCCACACACCCATGCCCTTACCAGCATCAACCCAAGGCCCCAAAGGCCCCTGTTCTCTCTCTCTCTGTCTCTCTCTCTCCAAGGAGGTCCCAGACCCAGGACCACCCATCCATCCTCATACCCATCAACCCAGGACCCAGCCCAAAAGGCACGCTGCACCTTCATTCAACCCGCGCGCACACCCCCATGCTTACCTGACCTCTCTTTACCTGCCTTACAAGCGCGCATTCACACATACATACATTAGATACCGCTCATCCCATCCATCCCTCTTCACTTGGATTCTCTACCTACATGTCTTGCTTGAAGTCTGCAACGACCTCCCATCGTAACCGCGCCTGTTCTCGCTCTTGCGCGGGCTTTCAACCTCCCTTGAACACAACACGCATACATCGGTCACCTACGCGCCGCGTCGTTCAACGTCCATCTACTCACATCGAGCAATAGGTTGTGTACCACGCAACGCACCACCACCATCCGCACTCGAAACCACACACCAAAAACCTCAAGACCCTTTGGCGAACCAACGGACTAGCCTCTTGCTGTTACCTCTCGTGCGCACATGGTCTTCATCTGCCACCTTAGCCTACTCATTCGCGCCTCTTGACCAAGACGCTACATCCACCCGGTTCATCTCCTCAGTGAAGCAGATCCAATATCGACAGAAACGCCCACGGCGCATCTAGGCCATCGTTGCTCCGCTGCGCACCCTTGTCCGTCCACCTTGCTTCACACATATACATGCCAGGCACCCACCGCATCCTCTAATATACCGCCCTCTCCCCACGGACGTCATACCGGAGCGGCCTTTTCCTTTCGACCTGCAACTTCTCGACTTTTGCTAGCGGCTGTTCGACTCTGCACATCACCATTTGAAGAATCAATCTCACACCGGGTTTTTTTGTCCCCCTCCTTTGGCTCTACGACCGCGGGCGACGCTATCACCGACCCATTCGCTCGTTTTACTTCCGACCGCTCTATGAGGCGCCAAAGCCCGGCTTTCCCCCACCTGACCTACGCTCGTTAAGGAAGCACAGGCTCGTCCAGCTGAATTACGACAGAAGAAGAAAAGAGACAAGCGTTGTAAGCAAGCAAAACGAGGGCGAGAATTCGGACCGTTCGATCGCTCGTCAGAAAAAAACTGGATTTAGGTGACCACCCATAACTACTGAACACCATCTCGGCATCGCTGTCACTAGGCAGCGCGCAATCTGCCATCCAGATGTTTCGCCAAAGGTAAGCTCTGCCATGCCTTGTCGTTATGCGCCGACAACAATAGCAGTGCAACCCGGCTCCCCGCACAAGATGCGCGCGTCGTTGCGCCATCTCGAAACCTTTTTGCGCCTGCCCGGACTGGAGCTGACTCGTGTACCTCTCCACAGAACAAGCGCCCAAAAACCCGGCGATGAACTGCTGGCCACTTTTCGAAAGCAGTTCCCCGAGGTAGCTGTTACGACCACAGGCCCAGTCGGCGCCGCGAGCGCCGCCGTTGTTGATAACACGGGCATGGTTCCGTCCATCCCGGGAGTGCAAGAAAGGTCAGTACCAAATATCACCGTGAGCTTTCACTAGAGTTTTGCCGTTGCTTCTGCGGCACCCGGCCACACCCGCCGGGACGAGTCCAGCAGGCAGAAACGCGGGGTACTCTAACCCATCTGTGGATCAAGAGGACTTATCTGCAGAATCATTCCCAACAAGATTCTTGACTTATCCGACTCCGGGGCTGACGTTATACTTCTTGTAGAAGCCACAGCCTCAGCCATGAGGCTTTCAGGGACCAAGACCCAACACCTAGAGCCACGAATGAGCCATGGAGATTCACTCCATCGCTGCTTGACCCCAACTCTTTCTCCTTCACCAACTTCGCCAATGCGCCGCCCGGTTACTATACTCCCACACCGGGAGGCACCAACACCATCTATCATCCCCAAGCTGGTGACTTGCACACGCCCACCCTGGGTCTCGGCATGGGGCTCGGGACTCCGCTGTCGATGCCCACGTCTGAAGGCGCAATGCACGCCGGACAGCCCATGATGGATCTTGCCGGGTTCCAGGGAATGCAAGGAATGCACCACCCTCAGCAATTCCAGCAACCGTTTCACCCCTTCATCCAGCATCCGACACACCAGCAATCTTTTGCTCCCTCATCGTTTGTCCATCAAGACACCGGATACGAGACTATGGAACAAGACGGATCGCCAATGAACTCTGATCCATCCGAAGAACGAATGGCTTCTATCGACAGCGCATTTCACAACTCACCTATGGTTGGTTTCCAGGGAAGTCAATTCGGAGGCATGCCCATGGCCGCGGTCTTGCCCCCATCTGCCGAGAAGTTCCGTTTTCATGCTACTCTTAATGCCCCCACCGCCATGATCAAACACGCGGACGAGATTCCTGTCACGTATCTCAACAAGGGCCAAGCCTACTCCCTCTCCGTTGTCGACACCAATGCTACGATGCCCGTGGCCCCGGGAACCAAGTTTCGGACTTTCGTCCGCATCTCTTTCGAAGACGAGCAGCAGAGACAGAAACCCGGTGTATGCTGGGCTTTATGGAAAGAGGGAAGAGGTACAAACGAAGCCCATCAACGAGGTGGAAAATTGCAGGCCGTGGAGTACGTCGAGGCAGGCCAGCCAACCGAAGGCGACGACAAGAGGACCCGTGTTGAACTGGAAACGTCTTCATTTGACGGCTTCTCAGTGGTTTGGACACCCGGCATCAACGGCGCCCCCGAGTGCAACATTGCTGTACGCTTCAACTTTCTGTCAACCGACTTCAGCCACTCCAAGGGTGTCAAGGGCATTCCCGTGAGACTTTGCACCAAGACCAGCACGTTCCCGATAGACACTGCGCAGCCAGCAGCCGACGCCAATCCAGAGATTTGTTTCTGCAAGGTCAAGCTGTTCCGCGACCATGGTGCCGAACGCAAACTTTCCAACGATGTGGCACACGTCAAGAAGACAATCGACAAGCTCAAGCAACAGATAACCCAAGCGGAGAGTGGTATGAAAGATTTTGGAAAACGAAAGAGGTCCAACGCTGCAGCTCAAGTCAAGGGTGCAGACCAGCGACCTGGCAAGGTGCAGAAGCACAAGCGAACGTGGTCCATGTCCTCAACCAGCTCAGCTGGTGGCGGAGCTCGTCCTCCTCTCGAGGAAGACTTGCACTTCAAGCTTCAAACCCTGCAGGACATGTTTACCAGTACCCGACCTGTGAGCGTGTTATACCTGCGCGGCGAAGACCTCGATGATCCCGACCTTCACCCCGTGTCTCTCCCCGGGGAACAAGGCGAACTTGCCAAGGTGGAATCCCGTGAAGGCCCTGCCTGGCAAGCACGGAGTGGCCGCAGTTCCGTTGCCGGCTCGTCTCTGGTGTCACCTTCGCCGAGCTCCCTATCGCTAGCTTCCCAGGCGTCAGTGGTCCCTCATAGGCAATGGACAGGTTTCGAGGGCGAAGGTTCTGGTGAACCTGCATCCCGGCAAGGATCGGACCAACCCACAAAGGTCGCCAAAACAGACGATGCAGGTAACTTGAGCGGCTGGATCGAGGCACTGGGTGTGGATCCAGCTTACCGTCCTCCGCCAGAGCGCGTGCTGAAGCCCGCGGCCTGCTTCTACGTTCTTCGACCGAACACTCTGGAGCCGGAGAAACGGGAATACTACCGGGCTATATATTTGGCCCAGAGGAATCTCAAAGACTTCAACTACCGCGTGGCTGCAAAATGGAACCTGGACCCTTCGAAGATCCTGCGGACAGTCCACGTCCTTGATCGTGGTCTCGAGGTTGAAATAGACGACGATGTCATCCAAGAACTCAGAGAAGGCCAAGACATGATGCTTGAAATCAAGGAGATCTTGCCCGACAACTCTGTCCAGCCCAAACGCGAATGGGATATGGCCGTTGACCCGAGCGATGGTGACGCCATGGACCAATCATCTGCACAAGGCGGCTTAGAATTGCGCCTCAATTTTTAATATCACATAATTGGATCCAACTTTACTTCAGCAACAATTGGATGGGACTCAAATTAGGGATGGGCTTTACGTTTTTTTTCCCGCCCGTCGCCAGGGAGGCCACTAGGATATGGGTGGCATAGGCATACACGCGCTCGCACACGCATGGTTGGAATATCGCTCCGAAGGCGTTGTTGATTTTGAGATACCAAGTCCCTGGATGGGCCGCTTCTTCTTTTCAACGCTTCTAGCCGCACAAGATGTGGGCGACTTTATGATTTGGGCATTTAGATCTGGGTCATTATGGGCAATCATGGCAGCAAAAATCACAAGATATCCTTCTACAAGGGCCATTCGGCACACTTTCGAGAGGCTCATTGGAAGCACGACGGGCAGACACACGGCGAAAAAAACTTCAAAGACACCCCGGACTTCCGTGGCTTTTCGAAATTGCCAATGGCCTCTGATGCGACCTCTTTCATTCTCTTCTTCCCTTTCTCGAACCAATACTTTTTACCATATTATTTGGTAGCCAGCTCTCTGTCTTTCATTTGTTCGAGGCAGTACATTATGTATCCTGGCCGCCTGGCCGCGTCCAGGAGCCGTGTAGTTTGGGCCGACGAAGTAATGCAAGCAAGAGAGTGCACCATTGACAGAGACGAGCCCCCTGTATCGCATTGCATTGCGGCCTGTACCATAACAACATACCCACTGATTCCTTTGGTGTATCCAGGAACAGAGAGATTAACGGCATTTACACAAATTTGCACTTTTTACGCAGCGCATGCATCAGGCGCATTTTGAATGGAGATTACCAGGCTCGACAGCTTGATCCACAGAAATAAAGGCTGACTTTAGTGCTCATATCGGTTGCGTATAAGTCATGCAAGGCGGTTATTACTACTGGGGCCCAGAAGCGGCCGTTTAGGTCGTTATGCACGATGATTGGAAGATGGCCGTGCTGTGGCCAATCTCGCGTGGCAAGCGCTCATTTCGACGCTGGGAGGCGTTGAAACCGCTGGTGATGTACACTTTGACTAGCGCCATCAACGGTCCAGACCACTGTCATCGCGGGTCCGGTTGCTCCATCACAATTGAATGAGATGGGCGGGAGACTTCCCCCTCGCAATAAGGACGGATCCAAACCTTCAGTCGGCCGTGTCTGGGGTCATCCTTGAACCCAGCTCACGACATTGTCGATGGATGGTGGTTGTCGCTCTCCAGCCACACGCCGTCACCGTGTGTGTCCGTCCGATCGGTCCCACTACGGCCTGCCTAAAGAACAACGTTCCAACGCCCTGACGCCGTGCCGCGCCGGCGGCATCCGGGCGTATTCGTACCCTCGAACCCGCCCGAGGCTCGCTTGGGGTTTACAATCATACCGCGCTGGCCGGGCTCGTGAAGACAGCATCAACCGATTCCTACGAGCTTTGACCCCCACAGCCATGTTGCTCGCCGTTCCTAGCCAACCGGAGGAAGAAAGTCGATTTTCAAGGGACGGGTTCAAACGGAGCTTATTTTATTTGCGACTCTCCCAATGAGCAAAAATGGGCGGCCGCATGGCAAACAAAGGTTGGGTTGACAAATTTCAATAAGGCTGGCGACCCGATTCTGTTGGCGCCCGTCCATTCAACTGCCTGAATACATGGTGCTGCCGTCCTCCCATCAAAATGCTGGAACTCGGGAATGTTCACCACCCAGCAAATATGCCTTGATCAACGAATCGGTAAACACATGCAATAACCTGCCGAAGCTTCCAGTACGGTCTTCCAGCAAATACATCAGATGCTCATGCGTTGTCGCGACCCTTTACACTGTCGGTACCTCCGCGGCCACCGACTGGCGAATAGCGGGGCAACTGATTGCCTCATCCGATCCGTCAGCAGACCATCCCCCCGACGCCCCGGCGAGACACCATCAGACCGGCCGGGTTCCGGCTATGCCGTGCGATCGGCGCAGTACAAGATACTTAGCGAGGCCGCCCAACTGCCCCGATCAGTGCTATACGTCAAGCCACAGCGATCGGCGTCTTTTACTGCCTTATAGATTCACGAGCCACTGGTGATGTGGCGAGTGCTTGCGTGTTTCGAGGGTCTGGAAGCGCCATGGACTCCTCTCCTATTCGCTCCAAGATGTTTCCTCTGATCTGATGAGCCAAACATGAGTCAAATTGTGAGGGCAAAGCTAGTAAGACAACCAACGCAAATCTGTGCCGTCAGGCCGAGAAGCCACATGTGGCGCAAGCGACACACGATAGGAACAAACATCTTTGAGACCAACCGAACCGAGTGGGAGGTTACTATCACAATGATCTATCATGAGCCTACTTGGATTTTTTTTTGTTGCTCAGCTACATCAAACGACTTGTGGCTTCCTGGTAGATAGCAAGCTGTTTGTCGATCTTTCTGAGCAACACACATGGTTACCTCGAAGATATTGATACCACCACACCAGCGTGCCTACAGACAACCATCTTGGCGGTCAAACTTTCGCGCCCCTACATTTTGAGCACATGTCAATCACTTCACGAAATGCGATGCCGAATTAGATTCCAGGTTGACCCCTTTGCGACCTGGATCGAAGGGGTCCATCATGGAGGCCACTTGGGGTAGGAACCCCGGCGGGGTCGAAGACCAACCTCTGGAATGACAGCGCGCTCAGCGAAACCAGATTGTCGCACGAAACTTGCTCTGTCGGACGATGCCAATTTAAAAGCCATAAAATGAGATTCTCGATCTCACTCTATGCACAGAGTTCAACGGCTTGGATTGAATCCCATGGGAAATATTGGGTCTTGCACTTGATCTTTTGGTCTGATGTTTTCGGAACCCGGGCCCCGTCCAGTCTGATAATACAGAATGCCTAGGCGAGGGTTTGTGACTGACAGGTCATCAGATCATGTGGGATTGTCACCGGAAGACGCGAAACACAGAAAATACCATAACGTTACACAAGAATTCGAGCTGGACTCCGCCGATAGCCTTGAGCTCCTCTGTGAGCTCTGAGAGCTCCGTGGGGTGTGTCTGCGAGAAGAAGGGCTCCATATGCGGGGAATTTGGGGTCAGGAAACGACCTTGGCATGCGGAAAGGGAGCATTCGCCTTACGGGGACGATGTCCTGCGGCTAACGGTGGCAGCAACACCTTCGGCCCCAGTCGAATGCAACTCCATGTCTCATTGTCGACGAAACAGGCGTCAGGATACACCGAGGAAGGCCCAAATTTCAACCAGTGCCCAAAAAAGTTTCAAATTCCTCATATTCCTCATATTCCTCATACGATGCTCAGCAAGCTGGTGCTGTGCACATGAAATCAGTCACACGGTCGAGAAGAGAGAAGCCGTCGTAAACACGTCGACCACGCGTCTCATTCCGTGTCCCTGCAACAAGGCCGCAAGACCCTGCGCCCGAACGCAACTGTTATCCTAGGGTCCTGCATTACGCAGCAGCACGAGTGGACCATGAAAGTCTACGTGAGTGAGTGAAGCCTCAAGTCTCAAGTACCAGTACATTCACAAAAGGGAGGGCTAACCGCGGCCCAAAAGTGATGGAGAGCACTCGCCACAATGCAGCTCCCAAGTTGTCCAGCAGACGATTCTGAATGGCCCAAGATACGAGAGATTGGGACCTTTTGTCCTCAGGTAGTGGCTCAAATGGCTTCCCGAAATGGATCATTTACACGCTGATCATCGACAAGGGAGGGGGCACCGATAGGACCGGAATCTGGACCCAAGGAGCCATGGGAAAGACCTAGGAGAGACAGAATTGTCATACTCTCTTTACGGCGTCTACTGAAAAGAAAGATACTTTCATGCAGAGAAAAGGAGGGCAGTTGCATTCCAGATGACCTCTGTCCGTCTGTGACGAGACAAGATGTGCCATGATTGCGCGGCTACTAGCCACAGTTGGTGCCACACGTCGATAATCCAGCACGCAAGCACCAAAATCCTCTGCGGCATGAAGATCACTGCAAACTATATCTGAGAGTCGCATCATTCTTCAGGGGAAGTAACCAGTCAGATTCCTCAGGACCATAACATCTCAGCTGGCCAAGGGTTCAGCCCGCTCGCTTCGCGTAAAACAAGTGGTTTTAGCGGAAGGTCTAAGGCCTCATATTCGGCTTCGACCTCGTCCGCCACACTTTGCAGACAAGATGTCGATCACTTGCTTCATATGGTCTTGGAGGCGAGCCACACTTGGATGGTTTAACCGATTTGTGTGGAGAATTACGTGGCTGAAGTGGCTGAGCGCCTGCATCTTCCCTGGGGCGTGCGCCAGGTGTGGATGAAGCACGAGTTCTGACTGGCTCTGGCCTGACGCACTCGCCACAGTTGAAGGGCCACAGAAGGGGAACAAATGGTGTTCGTGCGTGGGTGCGGCTCGTGCAGCCATCGGCAGCATTGGGCGACCCGGGGGTGAGTGTCTTCGGGGTCTCGTTAGGGAGAAGTCACTTTCTATCAGGCCAACGACGGGGCCGCTCATTGGGTGACAGCATCCCTACACGATTCCAGACTGTTGGGATCGCCGAGGATAGGGGTGCCACGAGGGCTCGGGAGTCGGGAGATATGGCGGAGGGGTTCCATCAGAAGAGGGACGCCTGGCGCTCAGCCACAAGGGACTCTCGCCGAGTTGAAGAGGATAAGAGACGACGACGCCCCATGGCAAGCCATTATATTCGGCTTCCGGGACTGATGGAGGTGAGGTGAGTTGCTGATGCCCCTCCTTCCAGATTCTTATATCACCACTGCCTTTTTCAGATCTGTTCCATTATGCTGTTCTTTCTTTAAGACAACTATTGTTTTCTCCTTTCTCCCTATCTCGTCCTCCACCTCCTCTCCAGCCACAGTGAGAAACTAGGTTCTTCTGCTCGGTAGCGGAGTGCGCTTGTCTTGCCACTGGAACGTCGACGGTGAGCCAATGGCGACGACACATGAGGCCTGTCAGTTTCCTGAAGCGGTAACTTGGAGGCTTTTGCCACACCCCAGAGCGCTCCTGCGAGAGAAGATCGCGAGTTCGTGGCGGTGTTTCCCGCCCACACCCTTTCTGGCCTTTGGGCGGGAGCGTGGGGGATGCGAGCGTGGATGAGCAGTGAGAGAACCGTAGGCGAGAAGGGGCTAGGGCTGCAGGATCTTGCGATTCGCATCTCCATCGCCACCCAATGGCCTGTAGTATGCTGCGTGAGGGCATTCCCCTTGTAGACCAGCAGCCGAGACGGCGATCCTCGCTTGCCAGCTGGCCCTTTTTGGGTGGAAGTACTTCCCATTCGGGACTTATCAACGCCCACCACAGTGGTGAATGCCACCCACAAGCGGTCTTGCTGCCCGCAGGACAGGTGAGAAGCTACTGAGAAGCCCATGAGGCAGTGGAAACAAGCGTTCTCACTGGCCAAAGGGCAGGTGGCCAGGCGGCGAACTATTGCCACGCGAGGTGGTAGTTTCCCCTGGCTCGTTTTCGTGATCTGCAGGGAGAGTGCAACCTTCCACAGCACAATGGGCAACTTTCAACCACCGGAGACTTTGTGAGAGGTCTGCTTGGCGGAATAATATTTCAGATCTGCGACCTTTGTTATCTGGAATGCGACGGTGATCTTGTGGCGGGAGCACTGACTAGAAACGTGATCGCCATGGAGAGATGCCTTTAGGGGACAGCTGTCAAAGTATGCCGAGTGGCATTGAGTTTAGGGCTGAGATTGAGCCTTTCTTTTTTGCTTCCAACACCTCGTCCCGAGCTCTGCAAGCTCATAGTTCTCTGGGGAAGGTGACAGGCGGCGGCAGGGCACGTTGAGTGGCGGGGATCGGCGGATACATTTTGGAGAGCGGGGCCCGGGGTGAACGGCTGTTCATTGAAATGGGGGGCCATGGTCGGCTGGGGATGACAGAATTCTGTGGGTGGTGAACATTTCACAAGTTTGGGGGAAGAGAGAGAGAGGAGCACAGGAGCAGGAATCCATTCTCTGTGGCGTTCTTTCTCCTTGATGGTTCTGACGGCGAAGGAAGGACGAAGATCTGCAGATCGGCTGTTTGAAGGAAGCGGGGGAATCGTGGTGTTTTCTGCTTCTTTGCGTGGTTTCCTCAATGGACACGGGTGTGCGAACATGGCCGGACGCGGGAAAGCTTCTGCAGTCCTTCCGAAACGGCGTGTTCTGTTTGTCGATTCCTATTCTTTTCTTCTGAATTTTCATTGCCACTGCAATGAATTGAAGGAAATGAGACTGGAATGATTTCAGATGATGGATTGGGGGGTTACTTTTCAGGTGAGAGGAGGTGATGGTGATCGGCGGTGATCGGCCGTACGTCATTGCCCGTTTCTCTCAGCGCCGCGACGTTTCGGAGGCGAGGGGCCGCGTCTTGCCACAAGGGAGACTGAATTTTTACCTATTAATTCCCAAATGTTTCCTGCAATTATGGCTGTCTGTCATGTTGTGTTTTGTGACTATTCTTTTCGTGCGACTTGAGGAATTCTTTGCTTCGGAAGGTGATGGATGAGGGATTACATTAGGGGGGAATTGACGATTTGTGGGAATACGACACGGCAACGATTGAGCGACGATGGGATGGAATTGCGACCAACAAGAAGAATAACCCGGTCGATTCGATTCGAGGATGAATTCTTTTCCTTCTACGTGGGCGGAATATTCGGATGTGATTATGATTGAGTTGGCTTTTACGTCGGGGGTTGTACGCGGGACGGGATGAAAAAGGGGGAGAACTCGGCCGATGCTGGACGTGATCCATGACGACGAGGACATTAAGGACAATAACGAGAACAAAAATGAGGAAACAACGAGAAAAACATAACGACATCGCAATGGAGGGACGGAATCTGAGATAGGCGGGATGCGTCACCGGGAACGACGAGAGGGAAAGTCGTAGATGTCTATGGGATTCATTCTACAGCATCAAATCGGATCGAATCGAGATATGGATGCTGGGCTTGAAGGGTTTCCGTCTGGGATCGTGATGAACAGGGAATGGATGACAAGGGTTGATGTTGTTGCGCAGGCGTTGTGCCCATTTTCCTTGCGTTGCTATGTCGTCAAGGATCGACTTGAGTGTCGTTTGCGATCTGATAGATTGTTGAGGAGAGGCGACGGGAAAAGGCGAGGTAAGGTGTGCGACTGTGTCATCTATCAATTTGGTTTTCCGGTCTTGTCATTTCTACTTTGGAACTCTAGTCGGTAACGTGATAGCTACCTTCTCAAGGAGTAAAGTGCTTCTATCCCAGGTTGTCTCGGATATCTCAGAGGATTGTCTCATCCGGAACCGATGGTTGCCGAAAGTCCGGCATTGGCTTCTGCACCCTGAGGTAGTACAGGCTTGCAGATTTCATGGCACAAAGTAAGGATCCAGAGGGAACACGTCACTCTTGCGCGGGCCGTGATGTGGTTTCTGGGCCGTCCCAAGAGCACCTGGTGGTCGGAGACTACCAAATGGTGTCAAGGGTGTCAGATTTTAAGGGTGCGGTTTGAGGTTTTTTCAAACTGGAATCCTGTTCCCGGGATACCGGCACCCTACGTATGATGGTCATGACCGTCTTTTCACGAGCTGTGGATGAACGTGTTGAGTTATCCCAAATCTCAATTTCAGTTCAGCGACATTGAAGTCTCATAATGGATAGCGTCACGCAGGATGTGAGGCGAGGATGTAAGTCTGTTCAAGCCAGTACCTACTATACTTAACTAGGTACTAAATAATGTAGGAGAATGCCAGTGCTACCAAAATCAATTATAATCTTCATGATCGGCATCATTGTCATCGTCATCAGAAACTGTCACCCGTGAGTTCCTTTGCTCTATAGTCCGTACCGGAACCAAGGCTCAATCCCGACCCCTTTGCTTTGCCTAGTCTCTTTCCCGTCGAAATCCTCTCTGCCAACCCCATCTTAATGAACCCCTCATGTTCAATCTCGTAGCGAGAAGAACTACCGATGCAGGAGCTTGAAGCAGATACCCATATCGTCAAGGAAAAGCTCTAGCAGAGCATTCTCGATTGAATGCTGGCGGTCATAGACAACAACCGAGATTCCCCTGTCCCGAAGCGCCTCCCACTGCCCGTTGCGTTCCTCCGTAAGGTTTTGCAGCGCCAGAGTAATTGAAGAAGATAGACCAACCATGTGAAGATACTGGGGCGTCCATTGGTTCGATCCCATGCCTCTAAGCAACTCTTCTGCGTGGCTGGGGTTCGTGTCGTGCGTGTGGATGCCGATCTGCTTGAGGTTGGGGAGGGACAGGCACCACAAAATGGCCCGGTCCAGGTCCTCGCCGTCTCCCAGTCCAGAGCGAAGCCAGTCGAATCTGACCATTTGGAGGTGACGGAGGTCGTTTGTCGAGCCGGACAGGCAGAAGCGGTGGTCGTCTGCGTCGTACATGTAGTCTGTCCACCTCGGCCACCAGAAGCTGGGGCCTTTGCGCTGGGGCCAGAAGATGTCAATGTCTGGCCGCGTCCAGACGTAGGTCTCCATCCTGCGGCGGCGGGGTTCATACTGGTGATAGGGAACACGGAATGGCAAGGGGGGGAAGCTTTGCGTGACTAGGTCCCGTGTCCAGGCGCAGATTTGCAATGGTAGCCGGATACTGTTGAAGCGTTTCAAGGAAGCCACTAGGTTCGTGGCTTTTTGGCCATCGGGTGCTTCGTAGACTGTGATTTCATCTTTGCGGGTGGCTCCCGTGTGTATTTTCCAATTGACGGGTAGGCATTTGGCGGCGGCGTCTGCAATTAGAGATTCGACTATCTTAATTAAGATCTCGGTTGGGAGGTGATGGCCCTCCTCTGCTGTATTTGTTGTGGTTTGCTGCATTTTTAATTTTGGGGGGGGGATTTTCCGCTCTGGAGGTCTTGGAGTACGAGTGACTGTTGAGCGAGAAGATTCCGATGTTGTTGTATTTCCCAAACTTCTAAGCGTTTTCCGGGAGAAATCCGGTCATTACATAGTAGAACTGGTGGATTCGGAGATACCAGCAAACCAGGTACAGAATCGTGGCTCAACGAAGTCGACAAAGTTCCTCCAGAACTAAAGTGAGTGGTTTATTCGTACGAGGCAACTGCTAGGGGTCACAATACAAGATAATGGAAGGCGTTTTGGGAAGGTTTCGGTCGACAAGTATCCAAAATTTGCGGAACAGATATCACGTTCGTGGTCGAGGGGTCAAGTATCGGTAGTTTTGAATTCTTTGTCACTTCTTGGCCCGTAATGCTGTATTTAAATTCAGAGACGAGGAAGAGGAAGGAAGCACCCAGACCCAAATACAATGGGTAATTCTCAATATTCATACGCTAGATCTTTCCCTCAGTATCATGAGGGCAGCAAGAGCAATTAGGGAACAGATGCTTCACGCGGATGCCCTGCTTGGTGGTCTTCATCTCCATAACAGCCGGCTTAATATCATCCCTGAACGCAAACAGCTCAATCTCACGACGCTTGAACGGACCCCACAGCTTCCGGAACGCACGACCGTGCCTCTCCTCCCAGATCTTCATGTCCGGGTACCGGTGGCCCTCAATCTTCATCCAGCCCGGGTGGATCGCCTCCAGATCGGGGTCCTCGTACATGGGCACGGAGTAGCCGGCGATGATGGAAACCGTCTTCAGGTTCGGGAGCGTCGAGAGCGCGGCGACGGCAACCTTGTTGTTGACCTGGAAGAAGCGGAGGGTCGGGAGGAAGATGTGCTGGACACAGCTCAGGAGGTCGTAGCCCAAGGGAGTGGGAAGCTGGATGGCCATGGCGCAGTGAATCTCGCGTAGGGACCGGGTGCCATCCGTATCTCTGTGGTCGGGGGTGAAGAGGTCAACTTCGGGGCGGACCCAGGCGTCGACAGTCGAGAGGGGTGAGATGTAGTCGGAGTCTTCCTTGACGGGGATTCTGCGGAAGTGGCGGTGGACCATGGAGCGCGTCTTTTGGTCGATCTGTAGGGGCAGGCGGATGCTCTGGAAGCGTTCACATTCGCTCATCTCGACTGGCTCGCTGCCTATCTGGTGGCTTCTTACGCGGAGAACGACCTTGGTCGGGGCGGTGTGGTGGTAGTCGAGGAGCCAGAGAACTGAGCGGTTGTCGGCGAGGGCCTCGTCAAGGATCGCGTCAATGATGTTGAGAAAGACCTCGCGAGGCAGGTCGGCGGGACCGAGGCGAACTTGACCACTATCTCTCTCAGAAATCGACTGACCCGCTGGCGAAGACGAAGGAGCGGTCTTAGACGCCATTTTTTTTTTCAACTAAATGAGTAGTTTAGAAAATGAAAACAGTAGGTGTGGTGTTAATAAGTAGTCCGCATACCTTTCGACCACCAAAGTTGAAGGTCTCGCGATATGTTTTGGGAATCCTACTCAACACCCAAATCTTAATAGTGGTGCAGAGGGTAGGATAGGAAGAAAAGGTTTTAAATCGAAGTCAGAGAAGAGAAAACCCTGTCAAGTGAGAGAAAGAGGTTCATGTGACTGGCCGCTTAGTCGTAATGTTGGGTTGTGTTTGCTTGTCAGCCTGCATGCTCACCCTTGACCTGAGGCGCAGGATCAGGTCCACGGTCGACCACGATCAATGTCCTATCACCTTCCATCTCAAACATCCTGAAGCTTTCAATTGTGAAAGACTCTGAGTATCAGAGTTAGAGGCAAGCATCATGCTACACAATGAACAAGAAAATTTCAAAAGCGTCACCTTTTTTGAATTACCTATGAGAAAGACATTGTCGGATCGTTCGTATTGTGACCTCCCCATGTGCATATCTGTGCTAGACTTTCTTCCCAGTCCCTGAGCCCATGCCCTTCCATCACTTTCCGGGCCCCAATCCTTTCATCACAGAGCCTGAGACGTTCCCTTTGTATCCTCCAAACTGAAGTCAAAGTATCATGACGCGGGTGTCCTCAATAAGGGCTTTGATAGCTTCATTTGTATCGGGGCGACAGAAACGATATCTGATTCTTTTGCGTCTTGGGAACAGCTCGATGATAGGTCCAAGACCAGGATCAATGAGACCATACAATCGAATGCGTCTGCGGTGGAGATGGTCGGCCCAGATACTTCGAAATACGGCTGACTTGGTCATGTGCCAAAGTGCGAGATCTGGTAACTTGGCTGGATCGATGCTGTGGAGGCCTTTGGTAATACCCTCACGAAGCTTTCTGGTCCACGAACCAACATGGACGACGATTGCCTTGAGGTTTGGGAATCTGACAAGAGTCGAAATGCACGCCGCATTCCGAGTGACGAGGTAGTCGATTCTGGGGAGGTATAGGCGCTCGACGCTGGTGAGAAGGGCGTAACCAGCAGGAGTGGGCAGAAGAATAGTCTGGTTGTAGATGAATTGCTCTGCTTCGCGTCCAAGCTGAAGGGACGTGAAGAACGGAATGTACTCGTCGATATGGCGCACATATGCGCTGACAGGGCTGAGCTCACGCCTGCGCTTACAGGGGCTAGCTACCATCATGGGCAGCCGCGGGAATCTCTTTTCCACCATTCTTCGGGACTTTTGGTTGATCTGCGAGACAAGACGGAGTCTTTGATAGCGCTGGCGAGTGATGGACTGGTACTTGAAGTCGGCTGTATCGGTGTCGTGGACGACGAGCTTGCTTGCGACGCTGTGCTCATATCCGAGAGACCAGACTTTGATATCGTGAGGCTCCTCTGCCTGGGCAATGAGTTGGTCAACGACACCAAGAAAGACCTCGTACGGAATAAAGGGCTTCTTCTTCTTATTCACCCCGGGTGCCGCAGGGGGAGAGGTGGGAGAGTGGGCCATGGCGGCGACAGTTGGCGAGTGATGCCACTGTGATGTTGTTGTTGTTGCGTTGGCAGTGGTGATTGTGGTGGTGAGGGCGAGGGGAAGAGGGAGAGAGAGAGGATTGGGACGAGCAGGCAAGGATTTTATACCCTAGCAACGAGATATTTTCAAAGATTCAAAAGGCAGGTACGAATCAGCTGCAAAGGAAGGCGCAGAGAAAGTTGTGGATGTGATTCAGTGCCTTATGCTCATGAGATGAGGGACAGAGGGGGACGGCGAGGGACGACAGTGGCTGGGCGAGACGGGGGCCACATCAGGAAGCATCCAGCCAAGACTTGCGCAAACTGCCATAAATTGATGGAGTAGATCAGAGCAGATGCTGTAACGCCATGGCTTGAAGAATGGCATTGCTTACATCCTCAGCAATTAACATCTCCAAGACGAACTCCACCGAGATCTTCGGCCAGCATTTACTCATGATGTTATCAGTGGTGCGGCAGAAGGAAATAACAAAAATAATGATTGAAGCGCTGGACAGAATAGTAGGACGAGACAACTCAATCAAGAAGACAGGATAAAACAGAATGCACAATGATCTTGCCAAGAAGAGGGGTTGGAAACAATTTGAGACGGATGATTGAGGAGCTCATCTAGAACAGCTATCTGATCCTCAGGTCTACCACTCGTCATCCATCCGAACACATCAGCTGAATGAGAATCATAGTGTAGCATCAAGCAGCAACTACGACACCGGCACTCTGGGTATCACCACTGCCTAGGTAGCAAGCAGGTAGAACATTTATGTGCCCATCTCTCTTCTTCAATGACAATCATCCACAACCCTGCCAGTCGCAGCACTAAACATTGGTGATTCTACTTCCATCAGCCAGATCAGTGCTGTTGTTTACCTATGTAGTGCGCACCGCCATTGGCAGCCTCTTTCACAAGCATTAACAGACGGTACGCAACATTGTAGCAGTTGCAGACCGGATCCATGAATCTCATGCGGACGCTGCCATTTTCGGTGTGAATGAGCTCGAGAATGTCCCCCTTTTCGGCTCCGGGCTCGCAGCCCAAGACCTTGATGCCCTTCTGCTTGAGCTTGGCCCAGACGGGCTTCATCGTCTCGTGGTACTTCTGCTCCCAGGCGGCCAATTCGGGAAACAGCATCGCGTCGATGGTGAGGTCTGCGGCGTGATCGTGGCGCGCTCTCTTGGGGATGCTGTAAGGAGTGGACAAGGTGCCAACATTGAGATGACGACTTCCTTAAGGCTCGGCAGCTCGAGGATGACCTCGAATTGGCTGCGGTAGATGTAGTCGTCGAAGAGCTTAGTGACGAAGAGGCCAACGCGCTGGATGGAGTGAGTGACGGCACACTGCATGGGGTGAGGTACATCGAGGTGGGCAACAATGGGCGGGAGGCTCATCGTGTACTCGCCGGTGTAGAGGAGGAAGTGGTCCACGGTGGGGCAGATCCAGACGATACGCCAGAAGCCGACCTCGTATTTCATCCGGCTGAACGCCATCTCAAAAGGGTGGAAGACGAGCTTGAATTTAACGCGAGATCGGCGATCGATCTGGCAGAGGTTACCGACGAGGTGGAAGCGGTTGCCGAGCTTGGCGTAGTCGACCGGTTCACATCTCATGACAAGGGAATCGTTGGGGATGTAGACGATCGAGAAGGGAATCGACTCGGTCTCCTGCTTGGCCTGCTCAAGGAGAAGGTCGAAGACGAGCTCGAAGACCACGTACTAGAAGACCACGTACTTGGGGACCATGTACTTAGGGTTCTTCGGCCTCTTGATGACCGGTTGGGCCTTGCGGAGGGACGACATGTCGGTGGACGACATCGTGGCAGCGGAAGCGGAAGTAGAAGCACTCATTGCAGTGGTTTAAGGCGTCTGTGTCGATTTGCGGTTTCCCTCTGTACCCGAGTCGGTTGCGTGTGAAAGATAAGGAGAGGAGGAATGGAGGAGAATGAGGAGAGACGAGAGAAAAGGAATGGAAAAAAGACAGAGCTATCGATGGGAAGGAAGCTTATCGAGTATTTAGATGAAGGAAAAACGTTTCTTTTCCTTCGCCTCGCAAACGGTAGCCGTTGATCTGTTGAGACGCTCAGTTAGCCGAAGAAGTGGTGGGAGTTGACGTGGTTTGTTTGCTGTATCAATGGATCCCGAAAGCCGAAGATCAAGACGAGGATCTCCAAGGGAAGGAGATTGAAGGTGTGGTGGGAAAAAGGCATGGGATCAAAGGAAATATATGGAAACATTGAGAGCGTCAAGGGTGCATGTGGGAGGGACGTTCATGTTGACGCATCGAGGCGGTGGCATTTCACAAAGACGGATGGGCAAATCAATGTAGGATGAAGTCATGATCGAGTTTCGATCAGGTTTCATTTACATTTTTTGGCCTCAAGACCTTGCTTGTGTGACTTTAATGCCTCCACTAGCTACAAGGAAACCAACTTTTCAGCGGACTCAAGGTTGTGTTTCTTTGTAGTTGCGCGAACCTGCGGCAGCTTGTTCACGCTTCGACTTTGCAGCACATTGGTGACGCTTGCCTTCTTCCGAGGGAGATTGCTGAACAAGAGATGGTCAAATAAGTTGTTCGAAAACCGGGTCTTCAAATCGTCCAGGGTCCACCCTGCCTCCTCGCCAATATCGGCCATAATACCAAGGAACTCTTGAATCTCAGACTTGTAGTCTTCATTCTTCATCTTCTCGAGCCAAGGCCTGCCGTTGACGGTAAGTCCCTCCCACTCCTTTGCCCAGTGAGGCCTCGTCTTCAGCAGCTGCTGGGTGTTGGGGTCCTTGAGCGCCATCCACTTGTCGAGAACTTGCTGAGCGAACGGCACCCAGATATCCGAGGCCGCTTGAAGGGTGAGAACCTCGATCGAGCAGGTCCCCAGTTCGTTGCCTCTCTGGGGCGCCATGACAACGTTGCTGCCCCCCATAATTCGCATCTCCAGAGGCATGCGCATGGGGCATTTTGCCCGGTTCTCTTCCGTGTACGCAGTGAGTATTGCATCCCACCAGGCCCGCTGAATAGGAGCGTAGTCGATCTTTACGGGCTCGCCAGGCTTGAACTTCTTTCCATCCTTGGCCACAAGCGGGATCTCGACCTCCATGTCGCGAACGCGGACATTCTGGATGGCGCGCTGGAAGTGGAGCGCGTCGGGGAGGTAGGTGGTGACCTCTTTCTCGGGGAGAGCCCACATGGCAAAGCGAGAGATGAGTGTGACGGCCGCCTCGGTGAAGCAGTGGTCTACAAGCTTGTTGAGGAGTGTGGTGTTTTGGAGCACATTCATGGTGAACGTCTGCAGGAAGGAAAGAAAAATATGGAAATCGTCGGGGAAGTTCACGACACCAGCGCTATCGGTCGTATTGTTCCAGCAGTTGACCCAGACTTTGTCAGAGTACGGAAACCAGAACCATTCAGAGTAGAAGTCGTTGGTGGCCCGGTCCTCAAATATCTCCTGATATCCCCGTTTCTCCCCCTCGGTGAGCTTGCGCCATGGGTCGGCAAGTGTGGCAGGGACTTTAGAGAGGTCCAGGTCCGCAGGCGGAGGGACAGCCAGAGCGACGGAGACCTTTTCGGGATTCAGGCGTGCGTAGGTCATTGGGGACATCTCAAGAGTGATGTGCGTGACGACGCCCATCAGTCCAAAGCACCCGCTCGCGGCCCGGAGGTGCTCGGGCTTGGTGACTTCCTGCGGCTCTCCGTTGCAGTCGACGTACTCGATGCGACGGACGAGGTCACTGAGGGTCTGGTGGCGGCGACCGGCACCGTGGCAGATTGGGGCATTCGAGCCACCCAGCGTGATCTCCACCATGATGACGTTCATGGGCAAGGTGACGGTCTTGTTTTCGATGCACCAGCGACGGAGTCTTTCGTTTGTACAAGCGGTACCAACTCTGACTAAGTAGTTTCCGTTCTCGTTGGGTTTCTCGGAGACCATGTTGATCGTTTGGAGGTCGTTGGCGGCGGACTCTGGGAATGGGAGGGCCGTGATGTTGGGCAGCTTGGTGACCTCATGAAGCCCGAGCAGTGAAATAAGAACGTAGCCGTTCTCAGCAAATACTGGAGACCAGGAATGGCCTATGATAGAATTAGAGATTGAGCGAGCGTGCATTGGAGAGGTGAATAATGTTGAAGCTTACGAAAACCTGAGCATCGTACGCCCATGTTGTGTGTCTTTGCGTATTTGACAATGACCTGAACTTCCTGGGATGTCTTTGGCACACAGGTGAGCGCCGGAATGTTCTTCACCGTAAGACCCCAATTCTGGAACTCAGTTTTGTAGTATACCTGATGACTGGATAAGCATATCATATATCAGGATGAATCAGTCAAACGAAGACATACCACGATACCAGCTCCCCGGAGCTCATCCTTATTACCCTCGACGAAGTCCTCCATCTTGGCCAACGTATTATGGAGAAGAGCCCTCTCCTTGGCGGCAAGCGCATGGATGGGTTCTTTGAGCTTCTTGATGCCCTGCGCACCAACCTGGATGACGCAGTCTGCCTCGTGCAATCTCGCCAGCTCCTCCCGGCATCCCAGGCTAGGGCCCATGTGAAAGCCGTTGCTGACCTACTTGGGATCATCGCCCGCGAGGAATCTCTTGATCCTCTTTTGCCATCGTCAGTGTGCTTGAGCAGAATGTGAGAGTACGCTCTATCGGTTTCCGAGTCTTTGAAGACCTTGAGGAGTCTTCGGAGGAACTGGACATAGTCGACGTCTACATCATCGTTGATGTAGTCGTCGAGAAGGTCCTTAAGACCAGGGACTTCCTTATTGCTGAAATCAGGAGATTCGAGGAGGCCTTTGGCAATGTGTCCGATTCGTTCGTCGACCGAGTGGTCCCACGCTTTCGATGTGGAAGTCATGACTGGAGTGAAATTTTGGTAGATGAACAATTTGAAGACTTGGTTGTTATAACAAGCGCCGCGCTTGTCAGTTCACCAGTGTCGATGCAATGACACAAGTAGATGAGCCACAAGGACTCGTGAACTCTGCTGGGACTTTATACCTGCTCAAAGTCTGTCCGATAATATGCTCACCTTTCTGCTCTCAGGAGAATGCGATACTACTCGACCCACCGCCTTCATCTCTCGAAGCATTTCTTTTGCGCATTCTCCTCATCTTCAGCCGCATTGAAAACATGCGAGATTAGAATTCAAGATCAGCCATGTCTCAAATCCCCATTTTGGGGGAGCGGAGTGGACGACGGAACCGGCGAAAGTGTGGCCTCATGGGCACTTGTTCTACACGAGGAGAGCCGGCAGTAGACGCCAATCTCTGAATCGCGTGCGGGGATTCTTCTAGCAACGACTAGTGTACTTGAGGTTTTTTGCGCCTGACTATCACGTGGGGAAAGTAGATACATTGTGCTCTATCGATCCGATTTTCTCTCGTATCTCGCACCCAGTCACCTAGTCTCACATCCATCGAATCTTTCTTGATCTTCCTTGAGTATTTCTCTTGGAGAAGACTAGGCTTTTCGAAAAAAAAAAAAGGTCATGGAGACAGGGAGAATAAAGGCGACAGCGACGCGCCCAATTGCGTGGCCGAGAATAGATCCTTAGGCGATAGCAAATAGGCCTCCGATTCATCACAAGGTCCGGCCCGAGACCTAGCTAAGCCTTTGCCACGGTACTCTAAGTATCGTTCACTGTCCAATGAGATGGAGGGGAAGGCCTCTAAAACTTCAGCCCCGAAAGAAAGCCGTCTCGTCGGCTTGTGGCGTTCTGAGACATTTGGGAGGCAGATAACCACGACGTAGCTGAGTTTTGTGGCTTTTCTGGAAAGTCGCTGGTAGCCTTCTCCCCAGGGAAGGCCGAATGGAGGATTGAAAATAGTCTGAACCGAAATTTGAGGTTTTTTGGACTACCAACGCAGACAATCTGCAGCATTATTCTCATCTTGTCTGGCCAACCGGTCCTACTCATCGTAGTGGACGATCGTGCCCAGAGCTCATATCCACATAGTCCACTACAAGGGCACATGAACATCGTCGACCTTCAAAACATGACTGAAATCCATTCGACTGTGCAGTCTGGGTATGTTGACTCTGTGCCTCTGGCGGCTTAACCTTTTCCCATGCCGAAACTACATGTACTCTACTGTTGATCTGTATGTTGAAACCAAGGATGCTCCAGTGCCCCATGCGCAGTAATTCGCCTTGCCGGATCCAAGTTGGTCATCTTCGCAATCAAATCCCTGAACTCCACATCCACATAATGCCACATGGCAAAAGGCTTCCTTGGCTTGTCTGCATCAAAGTCGCCCGCGAGATCGATAAGACGCTGAAAAAACGGATTATCGTCGCCGATATGCTGAAGGAGACCCTTGAAACCAGTCTCGTCTGCAAAATACGAGATATGCCTCCGGAGTATGTGACGCCAGACATTTTCATCGCTTAGCTCGTCAGGGCTTACATGGAAGATCATGTCATTGAGCATCACGTATATCGCGACCACACCGAAGGAGAAGACATCGGATGGTGTATTCTGCCGAGCTCGAGCCCACGACTCCGGGCTTCGCCAAAATTGGTTCCCACAAAGACAGCCTTTGAGGTTCTTGCCAGGTGGAAGTAGCACGGCATCCTCTAAATCAGAGACCTGAACACTCTGGATCACAATATCGTCTGTTGTAGTGTCTTTGTAGTCGATGAGGATGTTGTTGGGCTCGATGTCTATGAGACCGTTGGGTTTAGTAACTCGAGTGCCAGTCGCCTAAAACAAACTTACCAGTATGGATAATCCCTTTTTCATGAAGCTCAACCAGTCCTTCAAGAGCACTCTTAAGGATCAACTTTCTTGTCGTTTCTGTAAGAGGTTTCTGGCTAATTTGAAGGAGGTCGCCGGCGAGAAAACGGTAGATGAGTAGCTCAAAAGCAGGAATGGTGTCAATTGCTGTCCGCAAGTTGGGGGACAAAGCCACAGAGCTTTGTAACTCTTGCTGGTATTCAAACTCGCCCGGTATCATGTTTTTGATGACAAAACTTTCTATACCGGTACTTGACGCATAGTTCAGCCGTCTGTCTGAATCAAGTATTCAAGTTATGTGTACGCACCTTGCCCGATAAACACACAGCAATGGGTTCCGTCGCTCGGAAAGAATCTCCTGAATGCTATATCTCTGACCTGATTGGCCATGGAGCACTTCGCCAATTAAGAAAGGCTCGGTTCTTGTCAGTGACATTCTGTCGTGGCTTGGATGGTGGCACAATCCGCGGCTTGACGGCAGTGCAACTTTGCTGTGACATGGTCGTCGAAGCGAAAGCAGTTTTTGGAAACTGATTGCTGTCCTTGATGCCATTAGGATGGCGCAATATCATCCCGCTCGAGCTACTGGTATCGTTGTTGGGGTCGCAAAGGGTGGCCTTCGGAGGCTGTGCTGTTTGCGATGTTGAGGAGCGAAGCGCACAAAGAGCGCGCGCTTATTTCGAGCGGTTATTCCATCCATTAGAGTGGCCGAGTCCGAGCTTGTGGGGTTCAGTAAAGCTTTAGCGCCCATCTCGGTGCCGTCGCTATTCAGATGGAGATGTGACTACAGTGCGCTGAGCTATGGAGGAGAATGAATGTTATGGTCGGATTTTATTTCTTCGGAATGAACACAATACATGGCAGGCATACCACAACTGCCGGCCAAATGCTATTCCTATAGTATTGAATAAATATAACAATGAACGAATTAAATACACATCATAATTATAAAGAACTTACAGTCAAAGAGATCTTATACTTGTGATCTAGTATCTATAACCAGATTTTGGGTTTATTTAACCTTATTTCCGCTTCAAGATTCTCTATTATAAGGTGGCTATGACAGTGGTGTAGTGGTGGTGGGGCCCTTCAACAGCAGCAGCAGCACATACCTACTTAGTAGGTAGTTACGTTAGCTAGACTGCACAGTCAAATTAATCGGGCTCCAAAAGTCTAAAGACTTTCTCCAAGTATTTATTCCAACTACTGGCTATTCTCTCGTCTCAATGTCTTGATCCTCAATGTTTCTATCCGTCGCCGCAAAAACGCCCTGTGGCTGTTCAGGCAGTCTGACTCTACTCTCACGTCCACGCAAAGCCCACAACAGCGCCCAAAGTATAATCTGACCAATGAGTAAAGGCAGTTGAGCTGCAAGAGTTAAGACCTTGTCCGTGTAATTCTTGATGATTTGACCGGCTGCCCAGCCTATCCACGATAAGGCCACTAGGCCCAGCGCTCCGGGCCACGTCGGCGATTGGCAGACGATGAAGGCCCAAAGAACTTGCCAGAGTGTCAGCCGAGTATTTAAAAGGTGCTCGGGGGTTTCCTTACGAGGAAGTACGGCTTCATGGATTCGCCAGAGGATCCGGAGCGTACCAGCTTCGTCGAAGCTGAAGTTGGAAACGACAACGACACTCCAGAGGCCTGATATTGCCGCAAGCGAGACAAGGACGACGACTAATCGGAGAAGTCAGCAGGAAGCTACGTTCATGTATTCCCCCCAACTCCAGCATAACCCCACTCCCACCACGCGCCGTAACGTTGCCCCAATTGGCATTTCAAGATAACGGGAAAGATCGGAGAGGGTGGAGGGAGAAATAGATAATGCACAGTGTGAAAATTTCGAGTTGAAAAAGTTTACTTACAAAGCATCGATGGCAATTTGTAGATCAAGAGGCCAGCGAGGATACTTAAAAGCACAGCGCCCGTACCGCTGACCGGGTCTTCGTGGACGACACCCCCCAGGGAGCTGAGAGATGTCGTCAGGGCAATGGCCAAGACCAGAAATGACTGTAAAGCCTTGGAGAGTGATTGCTGGCAAAGACATTAGAATATGAGAGACCACATCAGGTGAGCATCTAGCGAACCTGGTGAATCCACCGAACAGCACCTGCTTCTTTGGCATAGAACGACTCAGCAGCCGCATGCCGGGAGTAGTAGAGTTTTTGGTACGGAGTGAGCCAAGTAACGTCCTTAGGCCCCCCAAGAACATTCGAGAAGCCAAACTGTATGGTGGAATAGAGCAAGATGATGTTGGCGAAAAAGATGACGCCGTTGATGTCGAGAGCGAAGGAAATGTCATGAAAGGTGAGAGTCGGCAAATAACCAAGCAAGCTAATCAGCCCTGCACTGGCGACCTTCCAAAAGAGGAAACGCAGTGGTAACTCCTTGATTGGGTACCATGATGCCATGTACTTGATGAGCGTCAACGCGAGACAGCCCTTCAGGAGACCGTGGACCACGGAAAGTAGCATGGCAGTATCGCTACCCAACCCACCGCCTCTGGCAATTCTGACGAGGACTGTCTGACTATTAGTTTCTGACTTGAAAGGGAGAACTATGGGATGTAGGAGTACCGTTCGCTGCGAAAGTGCAGATGGAAACTTGGTTGAGTGGCAAGTACAGCAACAGGATGAAGCCTGGCACTTGACCCACGAGGAAACACACGTGAAAGATGAAGGATGCGTTCGCCTTGGTAGAATCAGTTGGGCCGAGTGTGTTCAGTCCGGCCTGCAACGGGTGAGAAATTGGTTATTTGTCCATGGCCGTAGGGGTTGACTCACAAGGCATATTGCGAAAAACAGAAACTCCGTCTTCCACGAGCGACAACCCTCAACGAGATTAGGAGTCTTCGTCACGCTGTTCTGTGCTCGTAAGAGGTCCAAATTGATACTACGGAGAGAGGATGACGATGCATCGTGCATGGTGTCAGGGGTCTGCTCGTTAAGTTGAGGGTGGGGTACCAATGACAATCGAACCTGATCAATCCGATGCAATTGCTCAAACCCCCGACGATGCACTCTCAGAACAGCTTGTCTGTGGAAGGTGTTTGTCCGCCAGTCGTATGAGCAGAGGAGCGTTCGCTGCAAACCGCCTTCAGAACCACATTCGAGTATGGCGACCGGGGGCAGACGGCAGTGGAAGTGCGTCACCGTCATCAAGTGTGTATCCACCAGAGTGAAGGCGAAACTGCCGCTTCCACATGGAGGACCGGGGGACGGTATCGATGTTTGGGGTTCTCGGAGATCACCTTCATCGCTATATTGTTGCGGGTTTGTAGAGGTGAGATTTCCGTGGTTGAAACCCCATAGGTGCTTCTCGATGCTTGCAGAGTCGACAATACCCTCTATGCCGATGAGCCGGGTTTTGATAGGCTGTTTGATCCTTCCTCGCGTCGAGATCAAAACTAACGGGAACAAGATGGCAAAGACCCCGGCCAGAGGAAGGCCATACGCATAGACTCTCCAGACTGTTATTCGCATGGCGCTCGAGGACAATATGCTGGCAAGACCAATAAAAAGAGAGAACGCCATTGGGATGGAGAAGGAAAAGAAGTAGCATGTGCCGATAAAGGTGAGATAGTGCATATTGAAGCTCCGGTCGAAACAAGGCTCTGGCTCGAGATTGTCCCAATGGATCGTCGCACCATGGACCCTGTCCAGCATGACTATGTCGGAGCCAACCACGCCAGAGATACTGACACTTGGAGAGATTTCACTGAGCCTAGCACCCCAGGTATCCTCTACCTGGTGCCATGGCGCCCCGTCTCGTGGAGAGAGGGATATCAACCTGCTCAGAAAGGCTCCACTGTCATTGGCAATGGAGAGCTTGGCAAAGGCCTGGAATCCGGAGTCTTCCTTGTTCACTGGAGGCCGATGGCGGTTAGGGAAGAGACCCATGGTCGCATAAGCGATGTCGCCCTGGCTGAATTGGTCCGTCTGACGCCTTGAGAAACAGGCGAGAGCAGCCTCGATGAGCCGGAGGTCGGTTAGGATTGCGGATCCTTCAAAGTGGTCCACGAGTTCCTTCACGGCCTCTGCGTCGTCCCACGCTCGCTCAGCAAAGTTCCGTTTGGCCACTTCTTTGGGTTCCGCGGGATCTCCAAACACGTAGAGTCGTATGCGATATTCCGCGGGGCAAAGCAGAAGTTCCGGCAGCGTCCACAGGCGGGATCCCCACTGCCGTAGCCAAGGGGTCACGTTCTCGCGCTTATACGTAGGGGGTCCAGAACTAGCAAGGATTGCTGTGACCTTGTCGTTGGCTGATGGTCCGATGGCGATGATCATGGAATGGGCCGCACGAACAATGTCGCAGATTCGGTAGACGTCCTGGCTGCTGCTCGTCGATCGTGCGATGCCGTCGTCGTTCCTGACGCACTCAAAGTCTAGCCAGAATGCCCTCTTTCCCACCCTCTTCGCGGCGTCCATGCCCCATTTGGCCAAGATCTCTCGGTCTTTTCGTGCGACTTTTTTGTTAGCGTCCCTGGTAGCTTCATCTGGGTAGTCATGCTTGTTGAGTTCCTCCTCGGTAGCCACTCTGAATTGCAGCCGTGTGTAGGAAACGAAGACGAATTCTAAATCTACGTCGTCGCCGTGCTGATCGAGGTACTCGGAAACTTTGACTGTCTCGTAAATGCCTTTCTCAAAGTCTTTAACGAAGCATAGGTACCTTGGACGAAGAGAAATTGGTGAGCTATTGACGGGCCGTAGCCCCGAAGGCGGCAGAGACCCGCTCAACCTGATGTTGTCGGTATACGGCTGTTCAGACGGCGGAGCCCCTGGTTCTTGCAAAGGACCAGGAAGCAAGGCGTCATCATGATCTACCACGAGTCGATTTGAGAACAATCTCTTCGGGGCATTGCCCACCTCCGAAAGAACGTGTACGTTGTCGTAACGTGAGTCCTTTTTGTTGCGAGCATCGATAAGCTGCTGTGCGGTCGTCCCAAAATCACCCGCCCAGGAAACCTTGATATCATGATCAGCCAGGCCCTCGGAGCGAACACGTCTCTCATACCAGCATGCAAAGTATCGGCCAAGCCATGAGCAGCTTCAGCGCTGTCAACGCCAGGGTGTGGGGGCTAATGTTGTATGTTCTTGTGCCAGGAACAAACAAAGATGAGCCGGCCCAGTAAGAAACGCGCAAAAGTGGCGAGACTCGGGACGACGGCTTTCCCAGGCGCGACCATCTCGATGTCTCGGGCAGAACCTCTGGCTCTTGGCCGCTCTGAAGCACCAGAGGAACCAAGCAGCCGTCCGATGGCCGGGCCCACCATTCGTGACTTGGGTCCGTAAAGTCGGTCTCCATTCCGTTGGGGATCTCGCGATGTCTGATGAGGCGCGGATAGGTCAAAGGCGCAACGATGTTGCACTGAATTGTAAAGAAACCTTCGCGCCAGTATGCGCTTGACGTGTAGCGAGGAACGCCTCACTTTTGTTTCTTTCGCGCGCTGAATGTCGTTGCCTGCGTGCCTGCTTACTCTGCACAGCCACTGCGGCTGAGCACTTGCAAGACCCCCTGTCACTTTTCGATGAGGTTGCACATCTCGGACGATACTAGCTGAAGTGATTGGCTGGGTTTCACTGCCAAGGAGCTGTGAAACATCCAGTGCGAAGCTGGAAGGAGGAATAATCTCAACTGTTCGTGCTTGTGCTATAGTCAAGTCTCTCTCAAATCGAGGATTCCTTTCTTGAGTTGATGGAAAATATGATTCAAGCAGGATGTCCATGGCAGCCATCCTCTTGTATATCATACTCGTCTCCGAGTTTTCTCACTTCAATCAAGTCCTGAAGCCATGCGTGTCTTCACTTGCATATCGCTCGACAGTCTCCCGGTCTGCATTGAGACCTAAGAGGAGGTCAGAGCCTGTGAAAATGCTCGCGTTGATCTTTTCCGAATGTTTGAGAATAATAATTAAGACCATCTCCCAGCCCCTTTGAGATGATGAGCAGCTTATTTGCCAAGTGTGGATCATGAATGAGATATTTCGACCGATGATAAGTCAAACCAGGATGCTCATAGGCCTTTCGCATCGCCGCAACCTTGTCTTAGATATCTAATGCGAGGGAATATTTTGAAATGATACTACAATGTCAGCCTCAACTCAGATTCCCCGAAGAGCACTGAGTTCCCCTTCAAAGTTGAAACCTATCGTAATCTCTTTGCCGGGCTACATCTTTATCTTAAGAAATTGCCTGTTCCATTTCTTCTGAGCCTCTTCTAATTCAAGGTCGCATCAGACCCGAAAGAAATTTGGCAGGCCTGGTTGCAATTGTTTCGAGCTGCCCAAGCATATTTCATCCAGTCCAGCATTTAAGACCTTCAAGAAAATCCACATGTATCTCGTACGTGAGTGTCATTTTGGCTTTTTTGCAGTTCACTGGAAAGTTAGGACTTCCTTCATCGACAACCATCTGGATTCGCTTCAACAAGTTCGTTCTGGATGCGTGGATCATTCCCATTTAAGATTTCTACTACAGGGACAAGACTTTTATATATTTTGTCTTAAATCTCCGATATTCATCTACGGATGCTCTCACCACTGCATTAAGCCATGCCGTCGAAGGACCTGGAGGACAGGTAGCTTCAGCTCTGCCTTCAAGTGTCATGGATTTAGCGCCTGAGTTGATGGAAATTTTGAAACGACTGGATGCAGTAATATAATAAGGTCATCAACGGGTGACTTTGCGGGTTGAACATGAATTTAGAATGGGGCAACATTCTAGTCATCATGACTCTCTGCGGACTGGCCTGTGTTCTTATCGTCTGAACAGCTCCATCTGTTCTTGATGGCGCCCAGGCTTATTGATAGGCTGCACCTGCACACTCATACTGTCCCAAGCCGTGACATGTTCATCACGATCCGATATCTGCAGTGTGTATCAAGTACGTGAATCACAACCTCATGTCAGATGGAGCAACAGGGAATGGTAATGCAGTTGCATCTCCGCACATCGGAGCCGAAAGTGGATCTCAGACATCCGAAGCCCCGCTTTCGCCGAGATCAGCCGCGGTCCCACTCACGCCAGAAACGGATGAGGAGGGAGCCCTGACCAAAAGCTCTGACCACCGGTGCCGATTTTGGGCTTATCTTTCAGACGTTCATTATGTATGTAATTACCCTCCTCCAGGTTCATCCTTCCAGTGACAGATCCGCATTGCCAGAAACGCAGATAGAGATAGCGTAGCGGGTCAGTTATTGCCAGAGCGATCAACGTAATTTGCAGAGCAGACGGATACACTTTCTACCAATGGCTTTCTTGGAGAGTAATGACACAACATGACTTCATCGACCCTAGCGCCCTTTTGGGAGAAGTAAGAGGCGTGGTCACTCGCACGCAATACCGCTATGGACACGACTTATCCGTACTATGTTCTAACTTCTCACCCGCCTCAGTGCTTATTCTCGAATCTCAAACCTCTTAGGGTGGAACAATAAGAAGTGGGGCAAGCCGAGACGGACCTCGGCTGAGATCCACATTTCCCACATAGTCATCTCACCGGACAACGATGGCTCCCGCTCCATTGATAAGAGAAAACGCGGGATTTGACATGAGGATTTATTATCCTCGTCCACGACTGCAGCTGCTGCAAGGCTCCAATGCGGAGGAAACTGGGGATTGACATACAAGGGGGAGAACAGTTCCATATCCTAAGGTACTTCGAGAGAGGCTGCGTGTCTCAGGTCCAGGACTCTCGGCAGCAACAACAACAACAATAACACACACACACACACATCAACGTCGGCCTCCAAGACGGCGGCCATTCTAGCCCGAGGCGATGAGATCCTGGCTCCGCTGTTATCCCCGGGGGTTAAAGCCTGAAGGACGATCACCCAGGCCTCGGCAGGTTTCCCTCACCCATTCTGCTCCGATGGCGTGCCTTGTATAACCTTGGAGAACCCACATCGCACCCCCACCAACACCAACACTAGATGGCAGACCCTTTCGCGCCGGTGGATCGGATGCGGGTTGCAACTTGCCGCCCACCCACTCCCTTCCATGGCCCAGACACCCAGAGTCCCAGACACCCAGACACCCAGACCCAGGGCCCTTTTCTCACTCGCCCCCTTTGATGGCGGCATTGCGCCGCCAGGGGGACGTTGGAAAATTGAAAGCTTGCAAAAACTTTGTTCCCCGCCCCCGGTCTTTAAGTCTTGTCTGCTCATCAGTCTCTTGAAGGATTCTTCGGCGCCGCTCATCTATAAATCCCCCCGTTGACTCATCTCGGTTCGCTTGTCAACTGCGCCTAGCCGTGACGGGATCTGCTACACCCTGGGCTAATGCCGTTAGATACTACGGTCAAGAAAAATTCTTGTTCCGAGGCTTGGCGCGCTGTTCCTGATTTACGCTCACCGTCCCATTCCCTAGAGCCGCATTCTCAGCATATCTCACTCTGTGTCAACGTGCAAGGCAACATTGCCCCCGGCGTCTAAACAGACCTGGACCAACCTCGGCTCGGCACATTGGATCGACGTGCAATGTCCGCTATACACGACTTTGGGAAAACATCCCACGCGGCGGCTGCCGACGCGGCGACCGCCACCTCAACCAGCTCCGGCCCAGACTCGCCGCCACTCCACCCGCTGAAGGGGGTCGAGTCTCGGCAGAGCCACCGGAGTCGGGCCTCATCCCACTCGTCTACTGACACCGATCCCCTCGAACCCCTCGAGCATGCCCTGACGCCCGACCTGGAGACGGAGGCCGAGCACTTCGCCAGGGAGCCCATCACGTACACCCGTACCGGTACGAGTATCGGCAGCACCGCTTCACGGCCTCCCGATTTCGAGGTCGTCTTCGAGCCGGACGACCCCGAGAATCCCAAGAACTGGCCCCTCTGGTACCGCAGCTGGACCATCTTCGTCGTCTCATTCGCTACCTGGGTTGTCGTGTTGTATAGCACGAGTTATACGGCGTCCATCCCCGGCCTCATCGAGGAGTATCACTCCACCAAAGTCGTTACGACGCTGGGTGTGACTACCTACCTTCTCGGGCTGGCTACCGGCAGTTTGATTGTTGCCCCGATGAGCGAGTTGTATGGCCGGCAATATGTGTACCTCGGATGCTTCACTGTCTCATCTCTATTGATTATACCCTGCGCACTTGCAAAGTCCTTGACGACCCTGATTGTCGTTCGCTTCTTCGGGTAAGCCTGCCGATCCCCTTCCCCCCCGAATCCTTTGAAAGCATCTGACACTGTCATGCAGCGCATTATTCGGAGCTGCGTTGATTGCCAACAGCCCAGGCACGGTGGTGGATATCTCCGATGAGGAGTATCGCGCCCTTGCCATGTCCTTCTACTCCATTGCGCCTTTGAATGGACCAGTCACCGGCCCAATTATTGGTGGCTTCGTGTACCAGTATCTAGGCTGGAGATGGGCCAACTGGATCGTTCTCATCATCGCCGGTGTGGGCATCGCACTCCTCTTCACTCTGCGTGAGACCTACGCACCGACTATTCTCCAGCGCAAGGCGGCTCGCATGCGTAAAGAAACCGACGACCCGCGCTGGTGGTGCCGCTACGATGAAAAGGTGTCCAAAATTCACCTCATCAAGCTGAACCTCAGTCGTCCCCTCATCCTGAGTCTCACAGAGCCTATTCTGTGGTTCTTCAATCTCTGGTAAGACTTTGACGTGTTGCTTTCGGCGAGATAGCCAGAGGACTAACAAAACGGCCAGGATCTCTGTCGTCTACGGCATTCTCTACCTGTGCTTCGTCGCCTACCCCATCGTCTTCTCGCAGTACCGTGGCTGGGGACCGGGCCTCTCCGGTCTCGCATTCGTCGGCATCGGCATCGGCACCATCCTCGCCATCGTCAGCGAACCCATCTTCCGACGCATCATCAACTCCCACCCCAAGGACCCCATCACCGGCCGCGTCCCCCCCGAGGCCACCGCCCGCGTCATGACCATCGGCGCCATCCTCACGCCCATCGGCCAGCTCGTCATCTCCTGGACCTGCCTCCCCGCCACGATCCACTGGGCGATCCCCATCGCCTTTGGCATCCCGTTCGGAGCGGGCAACACAATCACCTTCATCTACGGATCAAACTACCTCGCCGGCGCCTACGGCATCTACGCCGCCTCCGCCCTGGCCGGCAACGCCGTCATGCGCTCCATTTTCGGCGGCACGCTGCCGCTCGCGGGAACGCCCATGTACACGGCCATGTCGCCGCGGTGGGCGGGCACGTTGTGCGGCCTGCTCGAGCTCGCGCTCATCCCTATCCCCATCATCTTTTGGCGCTACGGCGAAAAGATTCGTGCCAAGAGTCCGGTCATCAGGCAGATGAGGGAAGACCAGGAGAAGAATGAGAGCAAACGGGCCAAGCAGCTGGCGCGTCTGGAGAGGAAAAAGGAGAGGGAGGCTGCTGCTGCTCCTGCCGGAAACAGCGAGAAGCCAACAGGCGTGTTGGCGAGCGAGGAGCAGACGGAGCCGAGAGATATCGAAAAGAATGCTTGAAGAGGTATATTATCCTCTGCCGAACCACCAAAAAAGGGGCGTGTGAGCAATGGATGACGCGTTTCCTGCGAATCGAATTAGAAAGAGGACTTATATACCCCCTCTTGTCCTCCAAAATGATATAACGTAGCATATACGGCGTTTGGAATGTGGCATCGACCCAAAGAAGGCCATTGAGCCTTTTGCTATAGAATTGTTGAGAAGCGAAGATTAGAATAGCCACATCTATAGGATCACCTTGAAAAGTAATAATTTTTCTTTCAGAATACCGTCTCCCACGGTCCCAGGTCTTTGCCAAGTTCCTTTAGCTTTTCCTGGATCCCAATCCCAGTGCCCGCGTTCCCCTCTTCTCCCGGCCCCGTAGAGTATCGCAGGCAGCCTATATCTCGGGATCCCCCTTTGCCAACGTTGGTTAGAACACCTGTATTGTGTGGTCGGTCAGTGGACACAGTCATCTCCGTGTGGAAAGGTATAAAAAAATCCACGTGGCGCGAATGGAGCAGCTGGACGACGACTCTACTCACAATCTTTCCAATTCCCAATCAGCAAATTCTCGCACCTGTTCACGCCCATGACTTCCTCACGGGTCTCCATTGGATCAAAGAGCCTCATACCATACTTGGTCCTGTCCTTGCTCGGGAAGGTGCAGCCCTCTATCCAGGATATCGTAAAATGATGCTTCGAACCATGTCCGCCTAGGCCATTGGACTTGTACTCTTTGTCGCCGGGCGACAGTCGCACCTTCTTCTCGTTCAACGCTGCGCAGATCTTCTTGGCATCAATTAGGAGTTCTGGGCCATCGATGACCTCTTTCTCGCCGCAGGAGCCCTTGGCATGACAATTCTGCTTGCCTACTTTGATCTTCATGTCCTTTATCCATTGCGTCACTATGGGATATGGCGCTTTGCTGGTGTTTTTGGTCGCCTTGGCCGCCGTGGTAGTGGAAGTCGGTTTGGACGTGGGCTTAGGCAGGGCTAGGCAATGACAGACATTGGCAGCTTGATTGCAGGCTGGTTTTTGGTCGCGCCCGCATTGGTAGTTTGGGCTATTGCAATGGCTGTCTTCGCCGCAAGCTCCCGGTTTCTGGGCCGCGGACGTCGATGAGGGGAAGACCGTGGGCACGTCCGATGGGTTGAAAGTCTCTTGGCTTGTCTTGGTTGTCTGAGGCGGACGAGAAGTTTGAGGAGTCGATGGGGATGGTGTTGGCGAAGGGGACCAGGAGGAGCTAGGCGAACTTTTGGGCGGCGGCGGAGGCGGTGTCTCTGCTAGAATCAAAGACTTACCGTTGTAGATGGTTGTCCAAGGCGCCATCCGGCTCCTGCTCTGCTCGTTGTCATGTGGCGCTCCAGCAGACACTCCGGTTTGAGTACTACATGTAGCTAAAAGCAACAAGCCCAGGAATTGAGTAAACCTAGACTTTGACGGCATAGTGTACATATGAAAAGGGGTTGATGGAAACGAAAATGCCTGACAACGCAGCAAAGCAAACCTAGAGAAGACACAGCAGGCTTTTCAATCGCCAGCAGACTTGACGAAAGGAATGACTATGACTGAAAGCGTAAGACCTGTGCTTCCAGACTTGGGTTGACATGGTACCATGCCATCCCTCCTGTATCTAATGCAAACAGATCTGTCATAGACTTTGTCGTCATTGCAATAAAAGACCTTTGACATTAGTCCACCATGCGGCCTATGGAAGCTGCAGATGACTTTGTTGGTTAGACAAACACGCAACGTCAGTTCTTTGATTGCGGCGCAGAACGTGAAGAGAGAATGCAAAAGCATGCTCATATTTGGATTTCAAGGGATGCAGGTCTCGGACAATAATGCTCCCTTTATTTCTAACATGCCGCGCGGTCAGAGCTCGTACAGTATACTTTTCCTTTCATACCTTACATTGAGGTTTCGCTTCAGTGTGCGAAACGCATCGTAGACGATCTTTAAGTAGGTAGCTAGAGCAAATCTCAATGTCATTTTTTGAATCAGATGAGCTTCGGTGTTGCTATCAGCCTCTCATGACAGCTCCAATTGTCCCTGGAAACTAATACATGGCAGAAACCACCCAGATGGCAAGAATTGGTGAGAGGAGGAAGTTGGAGAGAGAACAAAGAAGTAGTAAAGGAAATATAAGAAAAGAACGTTTGTTGAAAGTGAAAGGAATGTATGACCGGATTGCCCATCTCCCCCTGCTTTGTCATTCTATTTCACTCCCTACTTCTCTGATTGCGTACTCTTCCAGCAATTTCTTTCTTCGAGTTGCGATGGATATTTACTGAGTAGTTAATACTAAATCTACGGGTTCCCAATGCTCTCCGAGATAATCCAAGGTCTGAAATTCAAAACCCAGTAGCACCCTAAGCTGCCTTCATGACACAAACTTTCCACGGTATGGAGTTTTCTGCGCTGGTCGGTGGTATTGATGACTCTTTACTGTCTAATATGGAAGAAACCGCAACCAAGGATATTCTTGAACGAAACATGTGGCCAAGATGGTGTATTAACTACGTCAAGCAAAATCGACGCCCGCTTTACGAAGCACCCCAAGTCCTCCTGGACGAAATTCGGGGCTTCGAGGCCCAATTGAGCAGCTGCCACCATCCCCACCCAGACTATCTCGACCTCAATATGATGAGAATAAAAGAGGAAAATTGAATCCAGATAACTCCGATGAATTCGATTTCTACATCCCTTGTCGACTTGGTCACGTACAAGAGGTCGAGGTCTTCGTCGAGGAGACGTTTCCCAGCCACGCTGTCCGGCAATTCGGCCTGCAGCAAGCTTCGTTTGGCAACCAGCCTATGGTCGCCAAGCCAATTTCTCAGCCAAAAGCGTGTAGATGCTTCAAAGCGGTTGGTCTCGTTCTCCAGACGGCGTGCTTTGGCCGGGTATATCTTGAGCTTGGACGATGTAAGCGTCAGCAACGTGAAGTGGCTAGGTGACAAAGTAAAACAGACTGCTTTGGCTTTGGCTTCTGCCAGTAGAGACTGGAATTGTGTGGATCGGCTTCTCGAGAAGGGGGCTGTTCCGACTTTTTTTTTTTTTTTTTTTTTTTTTTTGGGGGTTTGGCTTTCTCTCGTGATCCGAAGAGGCTCTTAGAGCTCATGGGTCGGGCAACGCTGTCGAGCTCCAGGCATACTAAAGCCTCATCACTTACGTCTCATCAGACAGGTTAATGAAGAATGGGTTTCCGCGTCGAAAGAGCTTACTCGAGAAGTCATCTGGGTAAAGATGATGTCTAACATACTTGAAAGTTGAAAAGATGGAGAAATGGAGATGTCGACAGCCTAGGGTGACAAACACACATTCTCACACATATCGCCTGGTGTAGCTCGCCCAGTTCATCCAAAGACTGAGCGAGAATATTACGCGTTTCACTCCTGATCCACATTGATGAAAAACATCTCATTTTGCTAAACCGCGTCTCGCGAGCTGAGTACATTGTCTCTTGTCATACTACGCAAATCAAAGAAAGTCCACAACCTCGATTTCTCTTCCCACGTACGAGACGCAAAAGCAGGCGGCTGCAAGGTGAGCCAAATAGTGCTTTGATGGAGTTCAGTCCGGCCCCAGTTGGCAATGTATTCTCAGCTCAGCTTCCAAATTTTGGCCACCCCATCCATATCCATGCTCTGTCAGTCTTTCTCCCTTGTTTGTCTCATCCTGCAAAAAGAAAAGCCCTCAAGAACCCTCCACGACTGAAGCGGCGCAGCTTACTCGTCCGTGTCGAGGTAGCAGTCGCAGACCGGGTTGACAAACTTGACGCGAATGGCCTCTTCAGTGATATCCATTTCCAATTTCAGCCTTGTTGTAAATTGCGCTCTCTCGGCGAAGATGGAGATACCTTTCTTCTTGAATTGAGGCGCAAGCTTGCGAGCGATATGGCCGTGGTCTCGCTCCCATTCTGCTAGGGATGGAAACTGGTGCCCGTCGATCTCCCTGAATTCTGTATGAGAGTGAGGACGACCGTCATCAGCCTCCAATTGGACAATCGGGCCGATATTGATGATGATCTTGCGCAGGTTGGGAAGCGAAGCGAGTGTGTTGACCAAGTCTTCATGGCCCATCTCGAAGAACCTGGTCAAGGTGAAGCCGTCGAAGACCGTGATGTTCTGAACGATTTCATTACCCTTGGGTGTGGGAAGCTGGATCGCGGCCAACAGATGAGCAGCGTGGAGGCTCCAGGTGAAGCAGGTGAAGACGTCGATTTTCGGGCACACCCATCCCAAGACAGGGAATGATCCAAAACCCCTGCGAATAATCATCGGTAAACGACTGGCCATCGGCATACGGCGGAAGTGGTTGTGAACCATGCTGCGGATCTTGGCGTTGATCTGCAAGATATTGCGAATCTGACGGAATCGAGCGCGCTGCGACGTGCCATTGATATACGGGCTGTAGTTTGCGTCGTTGATAATAATCTTGGCCTCACTCTCGTAGCTGTACTCAAGAATATACGTCAGTGGCTCGACTGAATCCACTGCCTCAGCGATGAGGACTTCGATGATGTCGAGGAAAACCTCATAAGGGAGGCGGCGGGAAGGCCCAGCCAAAGTCAGATTCTTCGAATGAGACATGGCGACGCAGCTTGGGACGCGTTGTTCTGTTTTGATGATCTGCTTCGAATTATCGCCTCTCGTGCCGGTCTGAAAAGGAGATCAGCGTCGATTTTGAAGTGTTTGTCGTGCCTCGTCAACAACTTGGAAGGCAAAAGATGAGGGCGACGCGCTTGCTTTCCTTCGAGGAAACAAGCTGAAGGTCGAGTAAAATCCTCGGCCGCGATGATTGAAAGAGAGAAAAGTTTTTCTTGGCTTCGAAGAGGCCGAGAAGAAAGAGTTCTCAGAGCATCCATGGGACGGTACTAGGCGGAACTGAGTAGAACCATAAGCTTGCCCGGTGATGAAATTTATCAATGGTGGTGTGATGGCATGCCGTCAAGTCGATGAATAACAAGTTCTGATTCACGTAGATCAAACTTGTCCTGACGATATATGTTATTTGTCCGGACAAAGACCTTGTATTTACTACCTACATGTATTATCAAATAGTCCAGCAGTCAGTCCGTGTACACTTTTGACAAAGCTCAGATGCCCGAGCAACATGGCAGTTGTGATAAATCTGCCGTGCTTTTGTGAGGAGACGACAGGGTCAAAAGATCGGGAGAACATGATTACAGCGGGCGAAAAGGGAGGATGACCGCCTGTATCCTTGGTCTCTTTCATGAGATAATGAAGAAATTGAGAAGTTCCGTTTGTCTCATTGAGTCATCATTGACCGAGGATGATGCAGTCTACTCTTTCTACCTGTTTAAGGTGCCAAAGGGCACGATGTATTATGCCATTATTATATTACTTGTATTGCCTGCAATATGTTTTTGAGCGCGTAATTCAGATGCAGAGTTGGCTCTTTCGCGTTCGGACGAAATAGTTGAATTTGCCACCTCGCGGTTCTCAAGTAAAACAGATCAAGTGCGAAATGACGAGCAACTACCCAAATGTAGTCGCTGACAGACGTCTTCTCGAAATGGAGCTGGCTTATATATCCTCAATATGTTTGACAATTGACAGTTGGAGGTCTGAAGATGTAATTTCAAGGGTTCAGTATCAATTGCTGCCCAGAATTTTCGTCTTTGCGGTTGTGGCGAGAGCATTTGCATACTACATGATTTGTGGCCTTCATCACAGACTCATAGTCCATGTAATCGAAAGACCTCAAGCTGCAACACGTGTCGAAAACTTTAAAGATCAGGATTCAAGTAAATGATTTAACAAAACAATTTCCAATGATGTCAACGGCTCAACTTCTTCTAGGAATGAACAAGTAAAGCGTGAAATCTCAGAATTCCATCAGAATAAACCGAATTCAACTACTCCAAGTCCTCTGCAAGACTATTCTTGCTGCTGCATGACACTCTCCAGAGTAACGCCACGAGCATTCAAATCAGAATATAGCTGGTAGTAGCAATCGCAGCCCGGATTAACAAATTGCATGCGAACGGCTCCATCCTTTAACAGCAGTCTTGCCTTCTTGATCTGGGGCCTCCAGAATTTGCCTGTCATGATGAAACAAGGGACTTCTCGCTCTTCAGCAACCCGCAAGTGCGTTTCTAGAGCCTCTCCGTACCTAGACTTCCAGTTCTCTAGCAGCGGAAAAATCTGGGTATCTATGGGCATGTCGTGTTCATGTGAGTAGTGGAATGATACTCTCGGGTCGAGTCGAGCAAAGTTCTGTTCGGCTTTGAGCCGGATTTCTTTCAAGTTGGGAAATGACCGCAGCGCTTCGGGCGTAAAACCCGGCCGCCAGAAATCAGAAGATGGCACAAAGTCATCCAAATCCCCTTGGACCCTTCTTATGAGTCGGAAAAAGTCTTTCTCTTCGGTGCTGGGATGGAGAATTGTAGACCGAAGGTCTCGGTCTGGTGGTGTCATTTCCAGGGTCGGCATGGCTTCGAAAATGTCAACGTCCGGAAGCACACATCCAGACACCTTGTGGTCATGCCAAAGGCCTCGCATGGGTTGGTTATAAAGATAGCTCCACAAGTCAGTGGGAACGAAGACTCGTTCTACCATGCGTCTACTGGTTCTATCGATCTGGAGAAAGGTTCGGATCTGGTTCAGTCGCCACTTCTGCGTCTCGTAGCCTGGGCTGTCCACACTAATGTAGACTTGCTTATCCGGAACGTCTCGATTCCATATGATTCGGTACTGGAGTATGTAGGTCACCTTTTCATGTCTAGCCTTCTCGTAAGCCTCTGAAATCATCGCGTCTACAATGAGAAGGAAGATCTCGTAGGGTAAGTGGCCAGGATCGTTCGTAGCCCGAAGGTCTGCGTGGACTGATGGATTAGACATACAGTTTCTCTATAGGGACAAGATGCTAGGTTTCGTGGCTTTCAGTCTGCGTACAGCAGACGTTGATAGCTTTAACGTCAATTTGGACTTTTGGGTTTTCTGTTTTGTTGAATGCCTTGGGGTTCAAGAACGTTGGTGACTGTGTCGGCTAGTGAGGTGGTCTATAATGGAGGACTTCGTTTTTGACACTGAATCAAGGCGTATGCAGGTTTTATGCATCCACACCAGCTTTTCTGGTCTTTGAAAGATTGTTCCTGGCCGTTCCTGGGGTACGATTGCGCAGACAAGGCCATTCTGCGCACACTAGTCCATTCATGTCTTTTGCCACCGCGTCGGGCATGACGTTGAGCTATTGTGAAAACGCCTTTGTCATCGAGACAATAGCATTATCACTGTGTTTTCCAGAAAGAATCTTGGTACAGTTGATCAAATTAAGGGTTTTCATCTTTTTGTTCACTCATTCCCACACAACACCTAGTACAGCTGCCTCCATTCATTGAACTAATACTGGACGATGACTCGAGGGAAACTCACAAAGTGTGCTATGACTTTTTACAGTTTCAATCACCTGCATGCCCATGAGTGGATTGTTCGGAAATACTCCAGCGGGTCTAGTAATTTAACAGCGCCCGATCGAGATTCATGACTCGACCATGAGCACAACTTTGCTCCAATTTGACTGAGCGGGACACAGCTCATGACCCTAAATATAGTCTCTCCGAGCAGCCCTGATGGCTGAATTCTAAGATTCACAGCAGGAAGTGCAGACATTCTGAACCACGAGATCAGAACTTCTATGTCAGGGACGTCGGTGAGAAGTGGGAGACGTATAGGGACCAGCGAGAGGTAGCTTTATGTATTGACGAACGATCGAGTCTGCCCTGTCTAGTCTGTGCACCTGACCCCTTTTAAAAAAAGGGGGCACAGCGGTTGATCCATTAGTCATGCTGGGCACATGAAAATCTGCTCTACATGAAATGGATAGTTAAGCTGTCACGAAAGAACCACGTTAGGAAGAACGTGGTACTTAGAAATGAGACTGAATTATTTGCTTTTGAGACCGTAATTAACCGCGCTGGGCACGCTGACACATTCCAAGTAACCCTTCTAGAACCAAGCCTTCACGCCAGCTTGAATGGCCTTAAGAAGGCTGAAGTCGTACGAATCCTCGCCCAAGCTCCACACAGCGACACCACCGAGGCCGCGAGCCTTGGCAATCTCATTGAACTTGCGGGTGACAAGAGCAGGGGTGTCAAAACTCCAGAAGAAAGGCCCGGCGGCATCCCAATACCACTGGCCACCATTGACCTCGTCGGTCTTGCTGTTGGCAATGGCAGTATGGAAGGAAGAGAGAGTGGAGGTGCCGTTGCAAATACTGTAGTCAGACTGGCAGCCGTTGCCGCAGTGAGCAGCAGTGTCGCCGCAGAATCCGTACTGGGAGCAGCAGTTACCCGTGGAGCACTTGTAGAAAGTGCCAGCACCGCAGGAACCGTCCAGAGACGTGGTCAGGTTGGTGGGGGCACTCTGGAAGTTGGCAGTCTCGAAGGTGACGGTGCCGGACAGACCCGTATCGGTGCCGTCGGCGGCCTCGAGGAGCTCGGTGGGGCAGCCGAGACCCTGGGTGCAGTTGTAGCCCTTTGCGGTGGTGAACCACTTGGCGTACAGGGCGAAACCGAGGTTGATCTTGGCGGGCTCGACGCCGAGAGCGATGTAGTTGTCGATGGCTTCGAGCGAGGTCTTGACGTCGGTGTGGTGCTTGGTAATGTTGTCGCGGCGGTTCATGAAATCATAGGTCATGACGGTGAAGTGGTCAACAGCGGCGCTGATCTTGGGGGTTTGGTGCTTGGTGAAGGCAATCATGTCGCGCTCGAGGCCCGGGGCAGTGAGGGAAAGCTCCTTCTTGTGGTGCTTCAGCTGCGTCTTGATGGCAGACAAGAGCAGAGGGAAAGTGTTGATCTCTGACGTCTTCTGGCTGTTTGGCTTCTGGCGATAATCCGCTCCATTGCCTGCTGGGTACTCGTAGTCGATATCTGTGCCCAGTTGTTTAGGCTTCAATTTTCCTAGCTTTGAAGGCGGATTAAATTCTTTCTTTACTCACCGACACAGTCGTATCCAAGTTCGACCGCGGTATCTGCGACGTTCTTGGCGAAATTGTAGCGGCTCTCGTTGGTGGCAAGACCTTGACCAAACCCATCATTGTCTCCCCATCCGCCAATGGCCATGCAGACCTTGGTTCCGTTGTTGAACAAAGCACGGATCTCGTTCAGGGGCTTGAAGGGCTTATATTCACCAGCCGGCTTCGAGGCAAATAGGGACGAGTTTGCGAAAGCGGTGATTACATGGGTGACGTCTGAGATGATAGACTTGTCCGGAATTCCAGCGGTGTGGTATCTACACGGAGCTCTGTCAGGAACATGTCCAAGACATCTTTTCATAGGATCAACTTACTGGTCAAAGTACATGACATAACGAGGAGCCGCGCCGGTTCCTCCGGTGCATGTAGTGTTCGCGGAAGAAGCCTGGGCAGCCACGGCAGCCACGGAGGCCAGGCCGAGAGAACGGAACAACATTATTAGTATGCTTTGAATATAAGAAAAGAGTACGGTTGTTCAACGAGTGCTTGGAAAAGTCAGAGTAAATGAGTGATTGAAAAGGCGTAATGGCGCTTTGAAAGGAAGACCATCCGATATACGCGCGGGCAGAGGAAGATGCTGCACATTATCAAGTAGAAGTAGCTCGCCCCCTATCGGAGGGGCAGGCACCTGATCTCGTATTGGCAAAAGTTGCACGGTTGGCGGGACCCGGCGCACATTGCCGATGCCCACAAGCCGGCATTTTGAGAGAGCCAACTTCCAGGTTGGACTTTTTCTCAGAGGTTTGCAACCGTAACGAGTGCCCATTGGCAAGGTAAGTAAATTGGGGGGTAGTCGCGTCGAGTGGATCATGAGGGGCGATCATCCGCGGGTAGACGCGGTAGTGCGGCACTTTGCGGTGCCAAGTAAGAAGGCGAAGCGGGATCAGTTCCTGCGATTTGCGAGGCATCGTGGAAAGCAGTGGGGTTTCAATATATCAAGAAAGTATAAAATGGTCGTTTGGTAGAGTCGGAAATTGCGGCTGTTGCGGCTGGACTCAGGCTGTGTTGGCATGGGCTGACTCGCTGGGATGAACCCGCCCGAAATACCGTTGACTGAATCGTGCACTTTACGAAACGCTACAGCCAAGATGATTTCCTAGATGGAACAAGCTTGAGCTGAGCACAAACCTTCCGGGATCTCCGTCCGAACTTACGTATGCCTCCTGCTAGGTGGCTTATGCTTTCACCGGTCGGATGCGCTAGGGCGAGCTAGAAAAGATGTTATTCTCCGCCGAACCGCCCTTCAACGAAACTTTAAGGGATGACGGAAACTCAATATTCTCCCTTTTTTGTATCACTTTGTTCCTTCTTTGTGACTGTGAGTCAGATTGTTTGTGCGGTTGATATTCTGTATGGCCATCTCGGTCTCTCAACACCTTCTCCCATGGAAGAACCTCAGGCCGATGGCAGCGCAAAAGCTATCTTGGCCTTTCACCAGGCAAGTCTGCTTTAAGCTTTCCTGTATGCTTTGAAAGGACATTTTTTACTCGAAAGACGAGCGCGTTTCAAGTTTCATCAAGTGTGCCAGGTTGCTATAGGAGTAACATGAATGGGCATGACAACCGATATATAAACCTGGTTGCAACACGTGTTTCCATGCCCGTTTAAATAAATACTCGGCTCTGGTTTAGATGCCAAAGCGCAATTTTGCCCGACTCGATGCTGCTCCCTCCAGATTCACTGAGTGGATGGGCTATAGAAGAGTGGACCAGACAACGAATCTTTACCTAAGTATGCTCTGTGTTCTGGATTAGTTCTGTAATAGCAAAGAGTTTCTGAGAACTCCTTATAAAATTTTAATCCTTCACCTTGCTTATGTGTAAGATGCTTGCAATTCCCGGGGAGCCGTTTCCTAGTTAGCCCATTAACAGGAAGCAAACCATTACTTAAACACCATATCAGTTATTGAGACGTAGGGTTTCAGCCATTGGCGTATTACGATGACAAAAAACTCAAATCAGAAAGTCTTCGAAGTTTCGAAGTGTCGAAAGCCTCCGCACCTACTTGTATTGAGGATAAAACAAGGTGATCGGAGGTCCTCTCACATGTTGCTCTTTACTTGCCAATTATGTAGCTCCAGTTAAACCAACAAAGTATGAAATGAAGAAGAGAAGCAATCATTTTTCGCTAATCTGCCTCTCAGTATAAGGGACATCACGCGAAAGTGGTCTGGTTGGTTCAAAGCTACCTGGAACCAGCCTCTAATGTAGTCCTCCAAGCAATGATAGCGTAGCTATCTTCTTTTGCGCCTAAAGGAAGTATGTTCTACTGATGCTAGACTTAGCTACTTGTAATTTACGATCGAGAAAGTAATCACCACGTAGGTTACGATGTTGGAGGTATAACGGGAGCAAAATACTCTAGTCAGGCTTCACGTCGTCGGCGTAGAGTGAGATGTGAGGGCCAGTGTTGGTTTCCCTGCGGCGCTGGCGGCTGCCCTCCGATACATTCTAAATCTTCGACCAGATATAGGTTATTTCTGAGGCAAATAAACAGCGGACCGGGCCTTCGCCCATCACGTTCATGGTTCTTAAGATGAGGACGAGCATGGAAATGAGGGAGCGAACCCTGATTGGGAATACCGCCAATGAAAGCGAACGATGGTCAAGTTTGTCACTCATACCAGCGACCGACGAGGGAGGCGAGGGAGGAACGACATAAGGAAGCGAAATTGAGTTCACAAGAGGTCCAGAGGGCTCCCTTGGCAGCGCTTCACTCAAAGCAGTTAACTCAACTTTGGCCCTATAGTTGGCTGGTTGAGGGGCGCCGAAGGAGCCGGATTTTTTAAATGCCCCGCTTCTCCTGCTCCTTTTCGCTTCTAAAGGCCGGAGGGGTATATTATGATTATTATCTGGCCAAATTAGTCAACACAACTTAGAGCTAGTATTTGGTTGGTTGACTGACGATTGATTTGATTGGCTAGTTGATTGGTCGTCGGAGTTGCTCTGAGTGAAGCACCGCTCCTTGCAGAGAGACGCCGGAGACAGTGAAATAGGTGGGGAGTAGAAGATTATGTTGATTATTGACTTGTCTAGTCTATGTTATACTTACTCCTAAATCAACATGAGATTCTTGTGCGGCTGATCCGAATCCGATGCGTCAAATTATTTACACTGCGCTTGCGAATACTTTGACTAACCTTGGGTGTAGGACAAAGAGTCCCGTTGAAGCGCTCGTGGATATGACCATGGTTCTCGATTGATTGCTGCTTTGATTGCCATTTGGAACCAAGAAGCAATTAGCTCCAAGTTGCCATCCTGTGAACCGAATGCTTTGAGGAGGCGCTCAGAGGGGGTGGGGCTCTTTTGGTTTTCCACCCGCTAGCGACCGCCTTTGCAATATCTATTAGACTTATTGATATGGGTTGAGAACTCTGAGCGCTTAGCGGACTCTGCGGGAACAGAGAGAACAGTTTCAAGTAAGAGAATCGCGAAAATTATTTCCAATCCTACCTCGTAAAAACATTTAGGCAGTGCCAGCAGCTCTCACCCTGGAGCAATTGGTAAAGAGGCCGAGGAGCATTTTGAAAGCGTAATACAGCTACTACGTCAATGCCGGTGTTATGTAAGCAGCTATAGGCGGTCATTTTGAAGTCTGGTTCAATTGAGATAAGGCTTCTTTATATATCTCTTTAGGTAGAACCATTCGGTTAGCAAAAGATTAGTACTCGCTCGGCAGGAATGCTAAGTGGATGATGTAGCACAACGAGACAACGCATGGGCGAAGTTGCCGTCTTATGAGTGGGAGAATCTGAATGTCAGCATCGAATATACTCATGGCCAGAATCTTTATCTTCGACTCACTCGTGTATGGTAAGGTAAAGAGGGTACTTTGGTGCATGTGCGATTTCGAATCACATTGCAAACATCATATTGGCTAAGCTGGAGCTGATACTATCAACGTCTTATGTAGAGTTGCTTGCAATGCCGAAGTCTTCTAGGAAGAAGAGATTGAGATTTGCTTGTTGTGGGTGCTGGGTCAATGGATGACCACGGACATAGTAGGAAAGTTACCTGTGGCCTCGTTTAGTTCTTTGGGGAACCAAGCCGTGAGCAGCTACCTTGAGGCCCCCATGAACGGAACTCTTAGAGTTTAATCAACGATAAACTCAAGTGAAATGAAAACAGCGGTGAGTCCTCGACGCGGCATCGATGGGGCAGAAGGGTGACATGGCAATCGATAGAGAAGACAGTGGGCGACTAGGAGGGAGGAATTGACGTCTGGTATTTGAATGCTTTGTTTCAAGTGAAACAAGTCGTTCTGCCTTGGCTTCAAATAACTCTCAGTCGGTCTGTTCCTACCCATTGCGTATGCGAAAGGCTCGAATGGGAACTTTAAGCGTCCATACAGAGCGGCGCCGGCCCGATAGTGTGGAGAGGACTCAACCGCCTGTCCATCCGAACTATGTCGGCGCTATATGATATAAGCGGTCTTGAGTAGAAGTAGCACTAGAAGTCATAGTAGTAATAGTAGTCATAGTGGTCATAGCAGTCATAGCAGTGAAGGGAAATTAGTTCACTTTCAATGGGATTGAAGTCTCGTATACTATCCGTCCATCAGCAAGAAAAAGTGCCGAGAGGGAAACTTGGTACCAAGTTCCTGCATCACCTTCTGAACGGTAAAGTTTTCACTCCTCAGATGCGAGTTGCTCCTGATCGGCCGGATGTAGAGTTGACTAAACCTAGCAACTTGCGTCTAAATGAAAATCCTTCAGCACACTGGGAGCAAAAAACGCTTTGTGTCGTGTGGCCTATAGGATGAAGTAATACACAACAGGAGCGACTTCTTCTTCCACTTTGAAGCGCTCTTTTGGCTAATGCTTGTTTTTGGTCCTCGTTTCGCCATGAATCAATTCCGCTGGGATGGGTAAAATACTCCATACGGCCCATTAAGGAGGAAGATAAAAGCTGGTCCAATGGAAGCGCGATGGTATCAACCAGGTCAAGAAACGACTTTGGCAATTAGAGACCTCAGGTCAATATGATTCCACTGTGATATATCATATTCGAGGACCAAGCAGGTTAGCATACCCCATCTCAATCCAAGTGCCAAATTGAGCCCGCTGTATTTAGCAGACAAAAGCAAGGAGGAGCAATCTCTCGTTTCTAACAATAGGTGGCTTGTTGCCGTGTTTGCCTCATTCGCGGTACTCCCAGGTCGTGCAGCTGTGTGCTCAATATTTTCTCAACCCGAGACGTCTGCGTTGAATTTCCAATCTCTCGCGGAATGAGCCAGTCAGCGTAAGGCAAACTTGCCTTCCTTTCACCGTCGCAATTTTGGACTAAGATCGCCACGCGCTTCCAGTTCTTGTGAGCTTCCACTAACAATGATCGATACGTGTCCATATTTTGTTACCAGCAGCCCTGACTTTGTCTCTTTCGTCTGAATGACCTGATTGTCTCCCGGCATCATAGTCAGTGCAGAAGTGGCAGATGCTACGCAACGTAAGGGCGTGGCGAGCTCAGCAGGAAGACTTCCCAACCCTCGGCCTGTTTCTTTGATTGGGCTCGACGTGGCAATCGTCTTGGTCGATATCCCTGGTCAAGCATTGTCTTTATACAGAGGAAAAATCCAGCTGGGAACTCAGTCTCATTGTCTCCGCAACCAAAATCTTCAGTATCCCCTCCATCTTTTGCGCGTTGATGCGTTCCCTATGGTAAGCGCAGCATTCCCCTGCATCTTTGATAACCGCTTGTAATCAATTGCCGGCAGACAGATGGGAAAGCGATTGTCTGTGGCTAGCTGCTATTCATTAGACTATATCCTGCGCGGAGTTCTGTTTCACAAGTTTTGGATTTCAAACTCATAGTCTCCCTACTAAGTGCGAATTCGCCATAATTCCGCCGGAGACGCGCCTCAATCAAAAGTTTGGAACCCCGGGCACTGGGCTCAGTAGTCCATGTTCTAAAACAACAATTCCAGCACAGAATTACAGTGGCAAACCGCACGAACCTCTGTTTCGACACCATTTTTTCAGTCGTTGAGTTTTATCCAAGTACTTGTTTCCCACATAATCAGTTTTTCCTTGGAAGATAATTCCCACAGCCATTGGAAAAGACCTTGAAAAAGCCCAACAACTCAGGAGGCGTTCTAAAAGCTTTCTACGTCACCAGTTACCTTTTCCACTCTGGCTCAGTAATTTCTTTATTCTTCATTTCTTGATGGCATGCAATGTTCCGTCGGAAAAAGGGACCGACGAACCCGGAAAAGTATCCGTTTTATAGATACCAAGCTGTCCAAGGCACCTGTACCCGATCCTTCTAGTGGATATCGCGTCGGACACAAAGTCCCCCTGGAGCTGTATTGCATCATGCTTGTCGGAAGTTTGTGCTCGAACGAAAGAGTCCGGAGTCGCCTCTGCTTTCCAAAAGGGGCCCACAATCAGGACGCAAGAAGTTCTATCACACGCCTGTCATTCGTGTGAAGTCCCCGCCCCATACATCAACAAGTGGGAAGATCGATTGGCTTCCGTCATGGTTTTACATAGAGTCAACAGTGTGGAAAACCTGGCTACGATCTTCGACCCAGCGTGAATACGAGGAGAAGATCATATCATGTAATATTTCCTATTGCCGATATTTAGGCTCGCAATTGAGCTCCTGACTACGAGCCCTTGCCGCAGAAAGTGCCGACAGGGTAATCTTTGAGTTTTCTGTACTCCCCAACTACTGTCGCGAATGTTGTGACTCGTTTAGGTGAAATCAAGCCTTCAACGTCGTCGCGTTTGAGAGCAGGCCTACGACCGACCTGGTGCAACATTTACGCATCAGGGCCGTATGGAGGTAACCCCGAATCTTGAGCTCCACAACCGGGATGTTCAAGGCGTACATGGCAAGATTCAAAACCCTTCTTAGTTTCTAAGGCGATTCATCTCGGCCTGTGCCGGTTTTTAACCTTCATGGAGTCTCTGCCCTCGGTTCACACTGCCAAGTATTTAGACCTATGTGGAGGGCAGAATGGCTTCAATTTACCTACCCTAATTACATATGTCTTGCAGTTCCATTACTAGTGAGGAGTGCGTTAGTTTTGTATATAGGTCCTTCTGGAGTCTTGAAGCTGTAGAAAATGACGTATTTGAGCATACATAGAAGCTTTCCCAATCTTGGGCACAGGAGAGTGACGTGAGGTTGGCCAGACTCTAACCAGTAGAAGAAAACAAAACGGGCTGTTGGAGAACTCAAAAGGTGACCCCTGTTTCAAGTCCGCTGGTACTTCACATATCGTACCAAACGGCGACTTTTCTAGTTATGGCTACTAAGGTGTCTAGATCAAGTCCTCTGGTCACCTCTACAGTCACTTTCCATGCTGCCATGTAATGGGTGTTGCTCATTACCCGGGCTGGGAGTCCAACTCAGAATTTCTCTCAGTAATGGAGGGACGAATCATTTGGTGAAGATTCTGAAATATGCAAGAGCTATTCTTTGAATTCGCCAATACTTTCCGAGTGAACCTATCACAAAGCGAGGAATCAAGTGAGAGGCATATATAAGTAGTAATAAATGGCTTTATTCGGTTACAAGGGGCTCCCATGAGGAGTAACCCTTATATATGCCGTACGGAGCGAGGCGACTGAACGGGTCGTTCGGCAGTATGCTGAGCAGCGCCACATGTGGCGCTGCAAATAAAACCTCATGTGATCTAAGTAACGCCCAAGACCGTGAAATTATTTATGAGCGAGGCCTGTCATCTTAAGTCTTGGTCCATGGGAGTCTAAGCTTTTGACGACCCTGAACCTCACGTGTACATGTGAGCCAGCATCACCCCTGTTGTTAATGAACCATGAAGAGCAACTCGGACTTTGGCTAACGGCCCGCACCAACAGGTCCTCTGCCTACGTCGAGACGCTTCGATAAATGACTTGTATAGTTCACACATCTGAAGCACTTTCAAATTGAGCTACGGAAACCACCAATGACACGAGTGAGCATATGATTGAGGCTGGCCTTCGAGACAATCAGATTGGCAAATTATGCGAACAGTTGAACTTGTCACTGTGCCACATCTCGAGGATCATTTCAATGTCGTGATTCCGCGAGTGAGCGTGTGTTCAAACTGAAATCTACGCAAACCCTGTGTGCCTGTACAAGGACTGGTCCATATTACGGATCACACGGAGATGTTTGTCCTCTTCGACAACTTGACATCTTCGGCTGTGGCCCACAAGAATTCCAGAAAAGGCAAGGCTTAATTTACAAGGGATGAAGTCGCCAATTCCACGAATCATTGTCTGTGGCCGGCTCTCTCTTTGGACCGCCCGCGCGGGGTGTCTCAAGTCCGTGTCCGGGGCAAGTGCCCGGAGATGACGGCAACCGTCGAATTGAACTTCATCTACTCCGTATGCCTCGCCCATTTTAATCAAAAAACGTTCGAGCCGCTGCCTAGACTCGACGCTGTCAAACCACTCGCCTGGTAGCGCTTGCAAAACTTTCTGGATCCGACAGCAACCGATCCGGCCGAAGGTATCACTTAAGGTTTCGTGTCAACTGGGACAAACCTCCTTCAACCGTGGGCAGAAAAAGAGTTTAACCCCCGCGGGACACCGGGGAAATTTTCCTTGGCGGCTGGTGTAGAACAATCCAGATCTCTGGATGACTAGTCGCAAGAGCGGCAAGAACGGCGAATCCAATAATCAGAGTGTTACAGGAGTGCACAAACCAGTCTTTATCCAATCATCGTGGTGAACTTCAGATTTGGCAATTGCCTCTCTGATTACCTACTCAGGAGGCACTGTAGTTGTAGGTTGCCTGCCGTTTTTCGAGGACTGCTTTAACGGAAACATTATCCCAGTTGTTGAAACTAGCTGCCGGTGGGTTGCTGGGCATTTCTCAAAAATACGGATACAGGCCATCGTGGAGAGTCTCTAATGTGAGATTACAGGGGACATCGCGCAATCTGATCGTCTTGACTCGACCACAATGGGCCTTTTTGAGTGCTTAACGCCGGCTCCACTTCTAGACCGCCGGAGACCTTGTGCCCTGGCCCATGAAAGAGCCAAGCCTTGTCGATGGCTTCCGTGGTGTCCGCGGGAAGCACAAACTAAAACGGATATTCCATGCCGAACAGGCATGTTTTGATACTTCCTAACCTCTGGAGCGCCGCCACTTTGTCGGAAAATGTGGTCAAATTAAGTTCGAGCATATGATATGAACGAGACCTCGTCAATTCCGCAGGAAGCTTAAACTTGTGTCCCGGTTCCGCACTTTTTAAGACAACGGAAACGTGCCCACGGCATATGAATTACCACCCAATGCTTCATGACAAAAGCTGCGATGAGGCAGAGGCACTTGGTCACTGAGTATAAAGAGAGGAGGGGTGAGCCGCAGTGATTGAAAGATTCCAAGCTTCTCGGCATTCCTCCTTCAGTCTCTTGTCTTTCAACAAAATTCGGTGAGAACAACTCGAGCTTACAAGTATGCCACCCATTACAAAGTCTTTGAGCACACTTGCTCGCCGCGGAGCGCGGAAGCCAGCCCTTGGCCACAGTCGTCGCTTGGCAACCGTCACAGACCACAACGTTGCCCGAATGGCCGCCACAATGCCGCCAGGGCACAAGGCCACCGTAGCTCAGCTCGAGACTTTCACACTGCCTGAGCGGGTCACTGGTAGCCCTGGTGATTGCGCCATGGGAAAGGCTCTGGTTGATGCCTGGCGTCGCGATGGCATCCTCCAAGTCTCCATGAACGACAAGCAGCAGCACATCTTCAACGAAGCCACGACCTCCAGCAAGGCATTCTTTGCCAAGCCCCATGACGAGAAGGCAGCGTGTGTTGACTCTCAGAGTTTTTCGGGATACATTGCTTCTGGAGAGGAAATCACAGATGGCATCGCCGATTACTCTGAGATCTTCACCGTAACCAAAGATCTAGACCTCGCTGAGCCCCGCGTGCGCGCGAAATGGCCCTGCCACGGCCCGGCCCCTTGGCCCGACTACGAAATGAAACAGCCCATGACTACTTATATGGACTACCTTGGAGACAGTGGAGAGAAGCTTCTTCAGCTTGCTGAGCTGGGCCTGAATGTTCCCGCCGGCTCCCTCACGAACCTGACTCGGGACGGCTGGCATCACATGCGTATTCTCAGGCAAGTCATAATCACAGTAGCAGTTTAGTTGCCCCAGATCCTATACTGACAATGACTCCGCTAGATTTCCCCCTACCCATGACACTAATGGCAAGGGTAAGGCGGGACGTGGCATTGGGTCTCACACGGACTATGGTCTGTTGGTCATTGCTGCTCAAGATGATGTTGGTGGTAAGTCGAGGACATCCACGAGCTGGCTTCTTGCAGCATCTGACTCAAGTATACAGGTCTCTTCATCCGCCCCCCTTACGATGGTGAGCACTACGCAAACTGGGAGAAGAGCTCAGCAGGAATGGCGGAGGAGGACGACCGCTGGCACTACGTGCCGCCTGTTCCCAATGTCTTCACAGTCTTCCCTGGCGATATCATGCAGTACATCACCAACTCCTATCTGCCCTCCACTCCTCACAAGGTCGGCCTCAACACCCGCGATCGTTTTGCTTTCGCCTATTTCCACGAGCCCAGCTTCCAGGCGGTTGCCAAGCCTCTGCCAGGTTACGACGTTGGCCAGTCCCCTGAAGAGGGCATTCATTACGGCACCCACTTCACCAACATGTTCCTGCGGAACTACCCTGAGAGAATCACCACCAAGAGAATGCATGCGGAGAACCGCCTTGCCCTTCTCGAGAAGGAGGAACTTCGGACCCATCTCTCTCAAGCGACCACGTTAGGTAGAGTTTTTCCGAACGCTGGACAGCAGACGCAACCGGCTTTCTTGTAAGCCAAAAGTTGAGGTTTTAGCAAGCGAGCAAGCGATACAGAATTTGTTTGAATCTAGCGGGCATGAGTCAGCATAGCGCAATTAGATGGAAGCGACGGGAATATCGGTTTGATTAACACTGCTTTGAAACGAGATTTCATTAGACTACCTTAAGGTACATTAAAAAAACCCACAGAAGTTTCGTTGATGGTCTATGAAATCTGCCCTACTTTGAGTGCTTCCCGTTGTATCCTTTGATCTGAGTTCTAAAACTAGCTAAAGACAGCTCCAAAACCAATCAACAACCATTTTCCAGCGCTGTCCCAGCTTGTTTGTCAAATCCCGCGAAGGCCCCACGAAACCCACTTGGCTGGGATTAGCCTTTTGCTGCCCTGATGAAAATTCTGCTCCAACATGAAGACAAAAATATGGAGGAGAGATATTTGAGTTGGATGTCACATATGACAGCATCCTGTGGCACATCGTCTGGGACCCAATCAGGCTTCTTCACCCGAACCTGGCTCTCCACAACTTTACCCACCCCACCACACTCAATGTTCACGTCTCTCGTTCTCTCTCACGCTGCAATCGAACGACCCAGCATGGCATCATCAGCGATTCGATTCGTAGCAGGCACTAAGAAGTCCCCCTTGGGTACTTTATATCTACAATGCCACGTGAAACCTGGCGCTTCCCGAGTTCGTGAGGGGGTCACGGCCGTCACAGACGCGACCGTAGAGTTGTGCGTCTCGGCGCAGGCGAAGGAAGGCGAAGCTAACAAAGCTGTCGTGAAATTGCTCAGCGGAGTATGTGTACCACCTTATGTTATAAAATTTTTATTTCGAGCAGCAGTAGCACGCCGAAGCGCGTAATTTCCCGTTGTCACAAACTGCTAACTCGGCTGTAGGTTTTGGGCCTTCCGAAATCCGACCTGACAATCACGCAGGGACTGAAGTCCAGAGACAAAACTGTGGCCGTGAGTAATATTGAAAACGGGGAACTATATATGGCGAAGGTCAGGGAGCGGCTTGAGGAAGCCTTGGCAGATAAGTGATAGTCGATCGAAAGGGGGGGAATTATATGACTGGCTGCGAAAATGGGATACATAGTGGGGACGTAACAGCACGTTGTTGCTCCAGCATTCAATTTGATTTATGTGGTCTATATAGGGAAAATTACCTGGTGAAGTCTGTGTGGAAAGTGGTCCTACCTAGTTGCACGAATGTTGATTCAAGTTAAACAGGAGGAAGAGGGGTTATCTCTCGGGAATCTGCTGAAATGTTCTGACTGGATGAACTGTACTGAACAGCCTCATTGTAATACAGGGCTTCATGGCCATGGGAGAAGGTGATAATCCGATCATCTTTTATCGCAGCGGTTCCTCGATGCCCTCATCGATAGCCACAATCTCGTCGAAGACGGCTTCATCCACAATGAGAGGTTGCGATCCATCGCTGCTAAAGTGTTGGAGAAACTATTATGCTCATGCGCAGACTACGAGGTAATGTTCTTCTGGCATTTTATGTGGCATTATTTACTGTGCTTGGGTACCAAACTTACCTGATATTGCAGAAAAAGCTTGAATTGCCTCAAGTCTTGCCCGTCGTCTTCATAGGCCGTGGACTAGTGTTTTACCTTGTCAAACAGGTCAGCACGTCACTGCAGCCTCATGTTTGTCCTCAAATCAACGTTGAGATGCTGTCTTTAGGTTTTCGACCGTCGAGTAGAATACATGTATCAATGTAATCGAGTGCTGTAATACGAGAAGCGAAGAGGTTCATGAATAGATAAGTCAAGATCATCTGAAAACTGGAATCCAGAGTCATTTTCTGATGTATATTGATGGAACTAATGTCTAATCAGACGCGGCTGGCAAAGACGAAATCGTGATTCTATGCCCCCATGATGACACATTGAAGGTCAAGATGGCAATGCCATGAAAGAGGAACCACACAGAAGAATTCATGAAGCAGTTAAGTTAGGTAACTACGAGAAACTCTTGTACAAAAGACATGGACAGCCAAGATCCAGGCGGGCACTAACGGAGACATAAATCCTTGGCCCGGAATCCCCTACAGGACTTCCCTCGTCTTCTGTTTCTGTTGGATCCCTGGACTCGGAGTCTGAGGATTAAAACCATCGATCCGTAGAATTAGGCTTGGATTCAATACCACTCGTCTTTTATTGACTGGACACGCAAACCCGACGTCATTAATTTGCATGTTGTCTCTTCTAGCAAGACGGGAATCACTGCTCCCTGTTCTCGAGTACATGAAGTATTGCGGCTTTATCCAGAGATCTCCAAATCGACTCTTCTCAGCTTCTCATTAATCGGATACCAGGCTCGGCCAGCAACCCTATACGCTCTTTCTGTGTCTCTTTGACGTCAACTGCTATCTTCTCGACCATTATTGTTTGAGCACATTGCTGCGGCCTCGGAGTTCTTCGCAAACAGCTGCATTCTCACAATTGAGGTGTTCTGGATTTTATTCCGCTCCCTGATCACGCAGGCTGTGGAGCAGGAAGATGTTGTGCAATAACACTGTCTACAAATTTGCTTCCCAGTGTGCATAACCCACTAATGATCGTCCATCAATTAGAATAATCTTGGGAGCCACTTTCTTTTCTTCCATCTTAGTAGGAAGTTGGGTGAATTGAGACAGGTTGAAGAAGAAATATACCTCAACTAATCCCTTGCCATCATCACAGTGTACATTGTGTTTCCCATGTCCTCATCCAATCCAATTTTGAAACTCAGCTTCTTCTGAGGCTATTTAGTCACGTTACGGCCATGCTAGAAATCATCAAGTCGAGAGACGTTAGGTAGACTCAAATAGGAACGGACTGTCATCGCCTTTCAATGAGCAACCTGATCTCACTGTCCGAATATGCGACGTATTCAAGTCAGGCTCCGTCAGAGCCTGAATTGAGGAGGAGCAGACTGACAAGGTACCGAATGAAAAGCTCTTCCACTATCATCAGAATGGGCATGGATCGACTTGGGACTATCTGCTAGCCGCCCGATGAGCGAACCCTACTACTTGCTTGCAGACTAGTCATTACCATTGGCTAGTTTGTGATAATTCTTGCATAAGAAACCTGCATAAGAACACGACATGGACGACATGCATTGTAACGTTGACCTTGCAAAGCCTAGGCGGAGTATGTCATAGATGTTCTGCAGGAAACATCAGACACAAAACGAGCCAACTACTGACTAAGTAGTCGTTCAATCTATGTCTACAGGAAGATGAGCAGTATGACAAAGGACAGCGCTTTCCAAGTCCAGACAACAATCGCTACCTGAGCTCGGTGGAATGGGGTTTCTTTGGCCGAGTCTCTGTCTGAAGGTAGGAAGTTGAATGCATTTGATCACAACTATCAGACCCTGTAGTCACGACCCCGCTTCGCCAAGTGGCAGATCACATGCATATCCGTTGTGTAACGGATACGCGAGTCGAATCGAGTGGGTTCATGTGGACGTGGAGCGTTGCGGTTACGACCAACGGGTTTACCTCGATACCAGGGTGTCACAATCGATTTCCATTGTTGCAACCACTACCAGCGACCGCCTTTTAAATCCAGATTCTTGATGGTATTTAGGTTGATGTTTCCGACTTCCGAAAGATTGTTTGCTTTCAAACGTCCTCTAACGTCTCCTCGGTGATCCTGCACCAACCAATAAAGTCGCTTTGCTGAAATCGGCGTCATGGGTTCGATGCCATTCCCTCACAATGGGACTTCGTCCTCCTGGGAAACTATTTTGACTAGTGCCCAATCACATATGGCCAGTCTTGTTTTACTGACGCCTGCTATCAGCTGCTTTCTCTGGTTCTTTGCTTCTTGGCAAACATCTCCGCTCAAGAATTTTCCTGGGCCACTACTCGCAGGTACGCCATGACCTTCCTGTCTTGTGGCATGATTTGATAGAAAAAGGGACTGATTCTCAATGATATTAGGATGGACCAATGTTTGGAGGCTTTGGCAGGTGATTACAGCGGACTATGCGCCTCGGATGAAGAAGCTCCATGAGAAGCATGGCCCAGTTGTTCGCCTCGGGCCCAATCTTCTGGATATTGATTACCCCGAGTTGGTCAAAGTCATCTACGGTACTGATGGCAGATGGAAAAAGGTAGTGCATTCTTAACAGTCCAAACCCAACTGTCTGCTAACACAATGATTTATACAGTCCGACCTCTATAAGAACAGCAGCACCATTATTGACGGCAAGATCACCTACCACATGTTCAGCGAGACCGACAACAAAGAGCACGCAAAACTCAAGAGGCCTGTGGTGCGGCACTTCTCGGTTCCTAGCGTACTTGCCATGGAGCCCCATATGGACAAGACTATAGACGAATTTTGCGATCATCTCGAACGTCGGTTCGTCGATACTGTGAAAGTCTGCGAGTTTGGCGACTGGCTTGCTTACTGTAAGTCAAAGCTTACGTGCTCATAATCCTCGTTTACATGGCTAACCCGGTCTTTCTCCCGCAGTTGCATGGGACTTTCTTGGCTTCGTCACGTTCAGTAGGAAGTTTGGCTACATGGATGAAGGGTGTGATTTCGACGGCACGCTTGCGATCGGCGACCAAGCGATTGACTATCTCGGCCTCTGTGGTCAGATGCCGTGGCTGGACCACTGGCTGGACAAGAACCCAGTCTATCCTCTTGGGCCTCCAAACCTGTCCAACGTCACCAGGATTGCGATCGAGAACCTGACTGCAAGACTCAAGGGGGAAGACGAGACCTTCAACCATCAGAAACCCGACTTCCTGCAGTACTTCATCAACTCCAAGGGGACACATCCCGATATTGTGAATGAAGGGACCATTGTTGGCTACCTACTTCTGAATCGTGAGTTGTTCTCTCAATCAGAGCATTGCAGAAACTTACACGGCGAGCAGTGATTGCAGGAGCTGATACCACAGCCATCACTATGCGTGCGCTTTTCTACTATTGTCTCAAGAACCCCCGTATTTGGAAACGACTGGAAGCCGAAGTCGTCTCCAACATCCCCGCGGACAAGCCTGTACCCTATGCAATCGCCCGTGGGCTTCCCTATCTCGAAGCCGTTTGCCGAGAGACCCTACGCTACCACCCATCCGTCGCGATGACGATGGAGCGAATCGTGCCCGAGTCCGGTGTCACTCTTCCGGACGGCTCATTCGTGAAGGGAGGCACGCTCATCGGCATGAACCCGTACATCATTGGACGCAACAAGACCGTCTATGGCGATGATGCCGACGATTTTAGGCCTGAGCGTTGGCTTCAGCAGCAAGGCGAAGACGACGAGGCCTATAAGCTTCGAATGCGGCAGTGGAATGCGGCGGATATCGGCTTTGGTGGTGGCTCACGGATCTGTCTCGGGCGGAACTTGAGTCTGATGGAGATTTACAAAGTTGTTCCCTCTCTGATTTCCAGATTCGAGATTGAGTTGGTGGATCCTAATGAGAAATGGTGGACGAGCTCGCGATGGTTTTACCGGACAAAGGGTGTCATCTGCAACTTGAAGCGCAGAGCTCCAAAGGCATGAGTCAATCATCTCACTGTGTCTTGGGCGCTTCATGAAGTCGGGTGTAGATTTCAATCATCTTATTTTCATAACAAGGGTGCGGGAAGATGCTCAATTTCTTGGTGACTAGTACTATGGTATATGACGTGCACCAATCCAATCATTGCGTAGGAGCGAATGTGCCGTTCGCGCACGCGAATCCGAGACTGGGGTTCAGTGTCGGCGTCGCGTTCATGCAGATGAGCTTGGACACGCCACTGCCCTGGGGGTGAATCTTGATGCCTGTCGTCTGGAAGTTCTTGCAAGACGTCTGGGTGTTGCACTCGATGATGACAGCCTCCGTGTGGGTGAGATTTGGGAGTCCAACGTCGTACCAGCAAGGCTACGTCCATGTCAGTATACTTGTCACCCGTTGCGGAGTTTCCATGATGCGCAAGACTTACGGTCGTGGTGCATGATCCATCGCCGGGGTTGTTGGTGTTGATGCTACCGGAGAAGTCCTCCCAGGTGAAGTCCTCCATCATGACGGACGAGTCATTGGGCCTGTCGCCGCCGGCACTGGCCTGGTTGTAGTAGGTCTGGGTGACGAAGATGGGGAAGGTGACGTTGTCGAGGCGGATGTTGCTCCAGGTGATGTTCTTGGCCAAACCCTGTCCCCCGATCCAGCTCTTGAAGCGCGCGGCATACAAGCCGCCCTGGACCGTGACGTCCTCGAAGCGGATGTTCTGTACGCTGGCCACGGACGAGACCTTTGAGCCCAGCGAGCCGACGCTCATGCCATGGGTCTCGAAGCCGATGGTAGCGTTCTTGAAGAGGACGTTGTTGGCGCCGTCGTTGATGGCGATGGCGTCGTCACCGTTGAAGATGTTGCTGTTGGTGATGGTCACGCCCGAGGCACCGACGTCGAAGCCGTCCGTGTTGAAGGGGAAGCTGCTGCTGTTGGAGCGGGCGTCGATGACGGTGTCCGAAATGGTGATGTTCTTGCCCTTGATGGAAAAGTTCCAGCCGATGGGCTTGAGAGACTTCATGTTCTTCATCACGCCGTTGGTGACGCTGAACTGCATGAGATGGGGGCGGTTGGGCGTGCCCGCCTCGCCGGGCTTGTTGGCATCCCACCAGGCCTGTCCGTGGGACTTGATCCATCCGGCATGGGGCTAGAGGGTGTCCATTGTGAGTATCAATGCGACAATCAGAGCAGGCAGAGTCAGAAACATACATCTGTTGAGGCAATCCATTGAACGTTGGTTCCGCCGATTTGGAACCAGGTGAGCGTGCCACCCTTGGCGGAGACGAGCGCCTGTACGGTGGGTATGTCCTCGGGCAAACTAAGGTTGCCATTGACGGTGATGACGACGTTGGACAGCTTGGAGGCGACAACCGGCTCGTACACCTTGTACTCGACGCCTTCACGGAAAACAATTTCAGCATTGCTAGCGCACTGGGTGAAGGCGTCAGCGATCGCGGCCGCGTCCGATTTCCCGTCAGTGGAGGGCGAAATGACGCATTTCGTCGTCTGAGCGAGCGCGGGGGCCACGAGAGAGAGTGCCAGTGGCAGCAGGTTGCGGTACAGCATGGTGGCGACGGGTAGACCAGATGGGGAGACCGGATGGGGAGGTCAGACGGGGGCGATGTAGAGGCAGAGGTCGACGTTGAGAAGGGGTAGATCTGGTAACGGCGTAGCATCATGGCAGCCAAGCCGGGTCATATCTACATCTAAAAGCTTCGCCCCGAGTCGTGGCCTCCATTATGTCCTCGGGGGTCCACAAAGGAGGGAAGGGTGACATTAGTCCGGCGGGTCAGAGGCTCTCGAACCAACCCTCAAGTTCAGGGTAATTTTGAGTTGCCCGGGATCATTGGTGGCTTTCGGAGATGAGACTGGTATCAGATATGAAGGAGAGGCCTAATCTTAACGGTTGCTGACGGCCGCGAAGAGCCTCAATGGTGGAGGGAGGAAATCCGAAAGGGGTGTATGCAAACGAATGTGAGTTCAGACGCTCCACCACCGAGGGTGATTGGATGGAAAATTGCTCCCCGTTTCCTGGAGTTAGCATTAAGCCCTTGCAAGGCGGGAGAAAAAAAAGAGATCTTCCGCAGACGTTGGAGCTTAGAGTTATCCCCGCGCATGAACCTGCGCTTGACTGGGATCAGGGACGGATATACGGCACACAACATTACGGTTCTTCTCAGAAAGACCACGAGTTTTGAGGACTTGGTATAGGCTGAAGCAAGAGCGTTGAAAGCGGATGAGAGATTGATTGATTGGTGGCTTGTCGCTGGTCAAATACTGATATTGCTTGACTTTTCGTCGGGCAACAAGTCATGTCCAAGTTGCATCTGTCAGCGGGGTAGGCCGGGCTTATTTCTAGGCCCTGTTTGTTTCAGATACGGGCATTCGGAAATTGAGACTCGGCAATCCAGACCGAGAAGCGCTATGAGTGCTGATTGCGAAGTTCCTAGTTCTCTTGCGCTAAGTTTTCGGTCAAATACCGCAGAAGACGGGTAGTTCGAGGGGCAAAGTTTGTATCCCAGTTTGATCCGATAGCATTGTCGTTGTAGGCATCTGCGAAGCCAAGCCGGAATCCCATCTGGATCGACAGACACAAGGCCGGGCCCGGCTCGGCGGCCTCGGCGCCCCACTCTTTCCCGCGTCTGGGTCGAAACAACCCTGACCATCATTTCATATCCGGCCTCGATTGATTAGGTTTAATATAAAGTCTTCACTTCTTTTCAATATCACCTCATTTTCGCTGGGAGGCACAAGTAATGCCCTGCACATCGCTTTGAAAGTGTCCAGGAAGCCCTTTTCGCAAGTTCAATAGTTGGTTACATTCGTTGAATGATTTGGTGCCGGGTATCATACACATGCCACGTTTACTCCTCCTCTGCCTGAACCTTTTCTCTCGCCGCAGCCGGTTCTCTCGGCTGGAGCCCCTTTTGCTGATCCAACTTTCTCCTCTCCCACGGCTTAAGCTTCGTCTCCTCGGCCGGCCCGTCCACCTCCTTGGCCCACTTGACCCAATCAGACCGTCTCGTCTTCCACATGTCGCCCTTCCATGTGCGCCAGACGCTGCGGCCCATCCATGAATCACGCAGTGCCCTCTCGTGCTCCGCCAGCGAGCCGATGATGGTCTGCTTGACATGGAACGGGATAGACCGCTCCTTGCCGCGAGAGGGGACGTCGATGATGGCGAGAATGACGTTGTGACCAAACTGCGACTGGGCGAGCTCTGCCGCGTGCGGAGCGAGCGCGCCGACGAGGGCCTTGTGGAAGAACTCGTTTTGAGGGGCTGCGGGGCTCGCGAGGGCTGTCGTCAGGACGCTCATCGACGCCATTGACGTAGTCGCGAGTTTGACGAGAAGATCCGGGGACGTAGCAATGAGAGACTTCTGGGCGACCTTGGTGGGGTTTCCGGGGGTCTTCAGCATGGACGATACGAGTTGACAGCCGTGGTTGGCGACGGCGGTCTTGTTTTGCGGGCCAGATTGCTGGAATTTCTCGTCCTCAGCGGGCGCTTCCTCGACCAAGTGGCACAGCTTCGGCACCACGTCCTTGGGGTTGGAGCCGAGCGCGTCAGTGAGCGCCCTGGTGAGGGCGCTCTTCTCCTCGTACGCGCCACGGGCCTCGCAACGCTCAAAGAGTGTCTTGAGCACATTGTACCGAGCCTTCGTCACCAAGAGCGGGACAGCGGGGATGATCTTCTTGACGGCCTCCACGAGGTCGTCCTTGCTGGCACGGTTCAAGACACGAAGGGCGGGATACGAGGCGATGTCGTTGCGAACATAGGTTGCAATGCGCTCGCCAAAGAAGTTGCGAGAGAGCGCTTTGAAGATCTTGCCTGGGCAGTTTGTGAGAAGTGTTTCGAGAAGGCGAGATCCAATTTGGTCGTACACCATGCTGTTGACAAAGTCTGCCGCTTGCGATGACTCGTCGCTGAGAGATTGAGGTGCGTCGGGCAACAGCCTGTACAGCAGGGTGTCCTTGGTCGATGCTGCGGATTCCTTGTCGCTCTTGTGGTTGAGGGAGATGTCGAGCTCGAGAAGAAGCTGGAGGAGTGGGTTGCCCGTAGGGTGCTTAGCGAGCACACGCAGAGCTGTAAAGTCCATACCAGCAACAGCGTCCTGAATGATTTTCTTGGTGGCCAGAGTGAAAGATTCAGGAACAGCCCTCAGCTGACGGCTGAGTTCGTCAGAGGTTGCTGTTGCTCCCTGGACCGAAATGTACTCCTTCTTTTTACTCTTCAGCATCGACTTGGTAGCCGCATCGTCTAGCGGTCTTCCGGATAAAACAACCAAAAGTACGCGTAGAGTGTGTGATCCGAATCGGTCCGTTAGGAGGAATCCCATGTGTTGTTCAAACTCGTCGAGGGTTAGGAGGAAGAGGTTCTCCATGTTATTCTCCGGTGTCGGCTCGCTTTCCTCCTCGGTGTCCATCTCGTCTGGCCCCGTCGGTTCCGGAACGATTCCTCCCAGCTCTTGTGTCACAACGGGTGCTGCTTCAAGGAATAGTTTCTCGCAACAATGACTGGCAAATCGATGCTGGACGAGGGACAAGAAATGGCCGGCAAAGGCATTGAAGATCTGCTTCTTCTGCCTCGTGTTGGAAAGAATGATGAGACGCTCCATAAGTCGTGACAGCGATTGACTGCTGGCCAATTTCAATTCCTTGCCCCGTGCCTCCTTGTATACATTTTGCAAGAAGACGTCGCGCTCCTCGGAGGAGGGGAACTGGTTCAATTCGAGCAGCTCGTCGGCGCGGCGGAAGTATTCCTGCTCTTCATCGGCGAGCATTCCGAAGAATTCAACCTCAGGGCCATTGCCACGGAAAGAGTGCTCCTGCTCGTTCGCATCATCGAAGGCGGGCTGTTCCCCATCCTGCTCCTCATCCTGGACCCGCCTGCGTTTCGATGATCGTTCGTCTTGGTTCGCCTCGTGGTTCTCTTCAGGAGCCTCCCTCCTCTTCTTCTTTCGCTCGTCGCGAATCGCTTGACGTTTCGTTCTCGGCTTCGGCATTTTGTTTGGGCGTTATATGTCGCAGGGTGGAAGTAATGTTTTGTGCTGGGGAATCTGGCGGGTTTGTCGCATTGAACACTGGAGAGCCGAGTACCCTACCTGAGGTGGGAAAAAAACTTTTGGTCCTCGCCGTCTTATCAGTTATCTTATCGATAACCCCACCACTTCTATCCCTGTCCCGCTTAGATCCGTCACCCCTGCTCACTAGGTACCTCAAGGCACCAAAGGTACGATACCTGCACCTCGCCCTTCCATCTCCCATGTTGTATCTTTACCTATCTTTTCATCTCCCGCATAGCTGAAATGGCTTTGCTGGCTCTCCTCATTCAGCAGAGCTCCTCTGATATGCCTTTTTCCTTTAACCACTCAAACCCGCTCCAATCCTAGGAAGTGTCATCGATGCCTCTAGCGGCACGTTGCGCGCACAGGTGTCGAGCAGGTGGACTCGTTGCTGCATTGGTTTTGCTAAGTCTATCATCTAACAAATAGTTCTATGATCTTTCCGATGCATATGCACCATTTCTCTACAAGCAGTTCCTGGTCTTATACCTCAATCTCCTTGCCAACTTCTTCCAGCGCCTTGACCAGCCCTTTGACCGTTCCCTTCAGGGTCTGGCAATTGACAACAACTCGGAAGAAGCTACCTTTTTCTCCCGGAGCGTAGTCGATCATGAACCCACGCTGTATCAGTTTCCCAACCATTTCGCTAGTACGTCTTGTGTTCGCCTCGGGTTCCTTTGCAAGCTGGCCGTTGGGTGCGTAATAGAAGCAGACCTGCAAGCAAGGCGGCGGATTCGACGAGACCAAGACAAAGTTCTCGCTATTCTGCACCAACGTTGCAAGATGCTCGGCAAGGGAGAAGGCATGGTCAATCTGCCGCTCGAACCCGCCGGCACCATAGTAGATCCATGCCAAAGCCAGCTTGAGACTGTCGCCTCTCCGACCGCACTGGAGCGTAAGGTCCGCCAGATCCCACACGTCCTCGGTCTCGTCCACGTTGTGGAACAAGTACCCTGCCGGCAGGGTATTGGCCTTGTGGAACACCTTCTCGTCAGGCGTGAGGAGGAAGGAGCAAGTCACCGGCACATTCATCATCTTGTGCGGGTTGACCGTCAACGAATCCGCTAGATGGGAACCCTTCAACTTGGACTTTTGCTTCTCTGAAAAGATGGCCGAACCTCCCCAGCTGGCGTCGATGTGCAGCCACAAACCAAACTCTTTGCAGATGCCTGAAATCTCCTCAAAGGGGTCATACGAGCCCATGACCGTCGTTCCAGCGGTCGAGTTGACGTACAAGGGTGTCTTGCCCTCCGCCTTGGCGCGGACGACCAGCTCCCGAAGAGCTTCGGGAATCATGCGCCCAGCAGAGTCGATCGGCACGGCCCACACGCTCGACGCGCCCAGCCCGCAGGCCAGTGCGCTCTTTTCGACAGAGTAGTGGCCATGGGCGCTGGTGAAGATGATGAAATCGTGCGAACCGTTGCCGGATGCCTTGGTCTCTGGGTAGAGAGCGCTCCGAGCCACGACGAGAGAGGTCAGGTTGGAGGAGCTGCCACCTTGACAAGTGACTCCGCCGGCCCGAGGACCATTGAAGCCAAACAAGTTTGCAAACTTTCGAGCCGTAATCTTTTCGATTATACTTAATGCAGGCGAGACTTGGTAAACGTGGAGCTGATCACTTAGCAAAGGCACCGAAAAGGGGGCGCGGGGGGGACGGCAGATGAACTTACATTGGTGTTCAGGACAGACAGAACGAGATCGGAGACGACGCCAACCTGCAAAAGTCAGAGCTATCCGGGGGGCGCCCATCAAAATGCCGAACATACCGGAGTGTTGCTTGCATACAGCTTATCCATGAAGCCCTGGTCCCAAGTGTTGACGCTGTATCTCAAAATCTTTTGCACGACATCGAGCAGTCCCTCCTTACCGAGACCATCGCCCTCGGGAAGCGAGAGCTTCAACTTTTCAACCAACGCCTTAGGCTCCTGTGTGTCGACCAGCACATTGGCCGGGATACCTTCAATGTTGACAGATGTGTAGCCGTTGGCTTTTTGGCTAGCAGCCTCATCAGCCGCTCTGATGTACGGGACTATCAGGCTTTTGACGGCATCGAGCAGCTATGAGCAGGGGGCAGGTCAGTCGGGTGTCCGGGGCGTACACCTATTTACGACACTGTGATACTTACATCCTCAACTTCCTCGGCTCTTTTGAGCGTCTCCGGGACTGCATAATGCCCGTTTGTACCATTTGTGCCGTTCATGGTGATGCGCTGAGACACTGGAACGACTTTTCTCACCGCGGAGTATGGAAAAAGTGTGGGAAAATTCTTTCCAAGTGGTGAAAAGTTTTGACAAGAAAGTTTTCGTCGGAATTTTCGGGCAAAATTGAGCAGAAGAACCAAAAACACTTGGCGACTTCACCACGAAAAGACTGGGTAACTTCACGGTCGACGCTCTACGGCTCTTCAGCGGCAGTCTCGTACCCAAATGAGGACGTAATGCTGGAGATTTTCTTCAAAAAGCCGGCGTTAACTCCCCGATGACGGCACATCGGAGCAAAGTGGCGCGAGCCCCCGGCTGGAACTACGTACATTAGCCGCCCTCGCCGCCGGGTCGGGGCCCCATTGGATTTCATAATCAGCAACTCTTCCTCCATCGTGCCCCAGAGCCGATCCCGAGCCGACCCCGTGCCGACCAATACTCCTGTTCCCTAGGTTAGGTATCTCAAATGACTTGGCTGCCCCTTCTGAGCTTGGCGCAGCAGACGTTCAAAAGAATGAGCTTGCCTGTTTCGCTCGTCTTCTCCACGCCACCATAGAGAGGACCTCCGATGGCCGACAGCTGGTCGAAAGCAGGACCCCCTTCACGGGGGGAGCGGCACAGTCAGATCCCCCCCCCTCCTCCCCCCGCGACCCGGATTTGTCCCACTGGACGCCGTGCCAAGCCTGTGGTTTAGTAGTGTCTCACCGGGTACCGAGTCGCGGCCGATTTTCTGCCCTCCCCCGGATCCCGGTGACACACGGTAGTTCTATCCAAATGTCTTTCGCAGCGCCATCCATTCCGGAGGGACTTTTCCAACCCACTTTATTCCTAGCGCAGCTTTTATTGCGGGGTCTCAAAAGAACATTGCGAGAAAAGAGTCAATGTAAGCGACCAAGCAGCCGAGCTGTCGGCACCTTCAACGGAAGGCGCCTACAATGGCTTACATGTCCGTCAAGTCATTGATTGCAAGATGAAGATGGCTGCCATCTCGATCGGTGCTGACAAATCCGGCGGGCGGATGGACTTCACATCGTGATCACTGATGAGCACCTCCAGCGATACACCCGGGCGGTTTTCCTCCTTCTCGAAAGAGCCGGGGTTGGAGCATGAAAACGCAGAATCAACAGACGACATTTGTTTTTTTGGATGCTACGGGGAAAGTTTCACGGGATTGAAGCTGCTCCCCTCTCTCTGGAGAGGGTCGTGGGGTGACGGGGAGGGGGGCATGAGCATGATCAATGCGGGTGATGTGGCATCTGACAAAATGTTGAAACGGGGCAGCATCGTCATTTGATGCTGACGTCTGATTGTGCGATGACGGGGCAGTTCGTAGGAGGATGTTTTTTTAGCCAAAGTAGGTACTTACTTGGCTTACGTGCTCACTTTAAAATGCCGAGCGGATGATATGCAGCCAGCTGCTGGACTGACCTGCATCTGATGGTGCCGCCAGGAACGTGCATGCAGCCCGTCTTCCCGCAGTACATAGGATGCACGTCGCCTGATTGATTGCCTGCGACGTTGAAATCGAAATAACTTTGGCGGGATCGTAAAGTCGTAAGGCTTTGCCATGTGAATGACGCACCTCGACGCGGTTGTCCTGCAGAGGCGGGGGGGGGGGGGGTGGGCGGATGCATAGAACGAACACCGATCAATGTCCGCAAACACTGAGCAATCGCGTGGACAACAAAGCAACAAAGGACACAATCCCAGAGACACACGTGGTATGAGATTCAGGAACGCCCCAAACCCAAAACCCCGGACGAGGAAACGTCTCAAAAGGGGGCGGGGGGAGAAAAGTGCTTGCGGGTTCCTGGTCTTCCGACCATGGAACCGGGACCTAGGGCCGCCCGCCAGACCGGATTCGCTTTGTTCTACTGCTTTTGCCTGCGTAGCGCCGCGGACTGGGAGGAGGTTCCATGTTTTTGGAGGAGGACTGCCCAAGGCTGGTTTGTCACTGTACTGACCTTAGATTACAGTGAGACACCTCATCACAACACCTAGAGTCGAGTTGGAACAGTCCGAGAGGGGGAGAAGAAGAAAAAACCCGTAGCCAAACGGCATTCCAAGACGGGTTGCGAGTTTCAGCGGAGGTAGACGAAAGGGGAAGAAGGCGAGGAAAATTCCCAATGGACGTTACAAACTTCCTGCTCCTGGAATTTTTCTTCTTCTTCCTTCCTGTTCCTGGTTCCTGGGGTTCGTTTGCATCGTTTCTCGAAGCAGAGACGCCGACAAACACAAATTCCCCTGATCGAATGATGGAAGCCCAGCCGCTGGGTAGGTGGGTGGGTGTTTCAGGCGACAGGTGCGTGGAGGAGAGAGAGGTAGGTAAGCCGACAACAAACCTGTGGCTGCAACTATTGCACTTTTGCACTCTACAGGCTGCACTTATACGTATAGGTAGGCAATGCGGCGCAACACGACACAGCAAAGGTCCCCGCTGAGCCACGGGCAAGGCGAAAATAGGAGGTCTGGACGATGGAGAAGAATCGACAATCTCAGGCTGCGCATCGGGCTGCCCGATGCGCAGGGGAGAGAAATCTTTACAAGAAAATTGCACAAGTCCCCACGTTCATTTCCATCACAGCGAGAGAGAAGAGGAGATTAAGAAATAAATAGAGAAATTCGAATGGAGACGGCGGCTCTCAGATCCATCCAACAAGCGCTATCCGAGTACCTTGTTTTCAAAAATCCCCAACCGTATGCCACATTCAATAAATAAACAAGTAATAATTCGCTGGATTAGTGTCACTTGTCCACAATCTCATTTCAGCCCACCCGTGGCCCCCCCGGCCTCCCCCGGTCTCTGCACTGACAGAGATCCCGGACGGAGGAAGCACCCAGCATCTTTGACATTTGCAGCAGCGACACCCTGCAGATATTGGGTGTTTTTTTCTTCTTCTTTCTTCTTTTGCGCAGCACGGGCATCTCCAGAAGCAGACGATAATTCCCTTTTCGTTTACCAAGAAGGGGTGAAGAGAAAAAGGGAGAGAAATTTTTAATTTTTTTTTTGGTATTGTCGAAACAATCAGAGACGCATCTGAAAGGGGTAGGGAGAAAAGGGGCAGGAGACAGGTCAGATTTGCTTGCATCTGTCCCGAGACTGAGTACCAGAATCCGCGGACACCATGTTGTCCGTTTGGTCCTTTCCATTCGTTCCATCACCACATCTTGGGTCAGGGTGATCAGGGTCCCCCCCTCCAAACGCTCTTCTCACAAGAACCGACACCAAACCAAACACAAATCACAAAATCCAAGCCCATTGACAACCCCCCTGCCCCCCCTCGCGAGTGACGACATCCCATCCTCATCCGACGCCCCGACACCCAAACCAACGCTACCCGTGACCCGTCAAGCTTAGAGGTAGCTTGAGCAACTCGCAACGCAGGTCATCGGAACTGCACGACAAACATCGCCGCGGCAGGGAACTCCCCTCCTGGAGCTTGCTCCCCTCCCCCCCCCCCCCCCCCCCCCCCCCCCCCCCCCCCCCCCCCCCCCCCCCCCCCCCCCCCCCCCCCCCCACCCCCCCCCCGCCCCGCCCGCCCCCCCCCCGCGGCCGGGCCCCCCCACCCGCGGCCCTCCGCCCCTCTCCCCCCCACCCACCCTCCGACCCGACACTCATCGGGACGGAGCCCCGCAGCCGCACCCCGCCTCGGCGCCACACCGCGCCCGGCACGCGCACAGACAGTCAATCGGCCACCCATCATTTGCCTCCCTCACCTGGTCAGAGCTGCAAATTCCCCATCCCAGCTCACCAGCGAGCCGGCCTCATCCCTCGTTCAGTTTTC